GCTGATATTTTGTGAGAAATAAGTTGGGATGAGAGCATGATCTCGGGATTTCCTACGAGTCACTTGCTGTAGGTCATTGTGAATGACTCTAGAAATGTTCTCCTACTAACGTTTAACATTTTCGCCATGCAACTTTTAGTTGGTGGATTTACCGTTTTGGCGAAAAATTGATTTTCCGGATAAACTTTTTGGTTCAAGCGGATCTTGGGTATCCTTTCCGTGGGGGTGGAGCTCTAACCGCTTTTTCCCTCCGCTTGATTCCAACGTTTTTAAGTACATTAGAAAAAATACTTTCGATCGACGATAAATCCATTTGCAGCAAATTTTCTAACAATGGCTCTCTGGCTCAGTATGTCTTTGGAAAACACTTTTATGCGTGCCTCGCACTCTGGGGGGTGCTGCAGGGGCATTTTTAACCGTAGGGAAATTCTGAATAGTGCTAAATTTTCGTTAACTATCTGGGTATGACATATGCAAATTTTGAAAATGCCGCGACTGTGCATCACACGCCACCCCTAAAATTCAAGTGGCTCCTTCTTCTGTCCCACCCCTCTGTATTCAGCAAACATTGATTTAGGCTATGAAAAAGTCTCATTTCAAATGAACTAATAAATCCTTCAGACTTGTTGTCTTGTTGTTATTCTCACTTTTAAAATTGTTGAGTACACTCTAAGAAACCAGGCTACTAAGTTGTTACCAGGTGGAGTATCTATGTGACTCTACCGCATAGTAATTAATTTATTATTGAGTGGTAGATTAGTTACCAACTAGTAATATTTTCAAATTTCGCGACCGGGGTTATTACCGGTTTGGTAACAAAATGTCCCTAATTTGGTCGAAATCTGTGAGCATACGTTGGGAGACCCCCATTGTAAGTGTACATCTTATACTGTATCCTTGGAGAATTTCCAGACATGGTAATGTCAGTTCAAAATTTCTCAAAGTTTTTTACAGATTTTAAAGTTTGAGAATATGGGCGATTTATGCTGGGAGAGTTTGGTTGTCAAGAAATAAAGCTAGTCATAAAATATTATAAAATGCACGCAAATAATTTGTAGGTACCGTTTTTGATACCGATCCTGGTTCAATTATTTTATAATTAGTCTAATTTACAACTAAAATAAATCGTTGGCATTTTATGAGGTTTCATGAAGAATTTTATTTTACTTGACAACCAAACTCTCCTAGTATAAATCGCCCATATTCTCAAACTTTAAAATCGGTAAAAAAATTAAGAAATTTTGAAGACATGACCTTGTCTAGAAATTCTCCAAGGATACAGTACAGGGGAATGATGCAATAAATCAATTATTATTATTACAATTGGTACGCCTGGCTAATTCCCTCCTAATTTTTTTACAACATGAATGTATATATAATTGCATACATTTTCTATATACAGCTAACCTTGAGTTTAAAACTCAGGCAAGTATGCAACACTCACGTATTTTTTAATTTTCAAATAAAACAGCAATCCCTTTGCCAAATTAAAATCAACGAATTCGTTGTCCTCAAACCTGAATAATGATTCCGCTGGCAAAAAAGATCGCTTTCTTTTGCATAAATTTGTCATTTTTGCAGTACGTGCGAAAATTATAAATACCAAGAGTAGAATTTTGGAGTACTTGTCAACCTTCATCCTTCCTCAGTGACTTTGTTTGTGTTCAGGTGATTGGAAAGTTAGGATCAATTTTTCACCTTACAGGTAATGCTCAATTAATCGCGAAACTTACAGTGGAGGTCTCCCAACGTATGCTCACAGATTTGGACGAAATTAGTGTCAATCGATCACAAATATAATTAGTATGAAATTTGCAAATGGAACTATCTGCCAATATGCAGGTTTGGCGGAGATATTTGCATAAAAAGAGGAGAAAACGCACCAAAAGGCCGGTAGATTTTTCATTTTCCAAATTTCCTGCGCATTTTTTCTGCTTTGAATGCAAATATCTCCGCCAAACCTGCATATTGGCAGATAGTTCCATTTGCAAATTCCATACTAATTATATTTGTGATCGATTGACACTAGTTTGGTCCAAATCTGTGAGCATACGTTGGGAGACCTCCATTGTTAGTTAAACCATCACCCTTGCTCAGTAACCTCGGAGGGCGATGGTTCAACTAAGATTCGCAATAGATGATGGTTGACGAGTACTCAAAAATTGTACTCTTTTTTTAATGTTCGCGCCATACATACCGTAAAACCTCTATTTATAGCCCTATTCTTATTATAGCCTGTCTCCAAATATAGCCGGGTCTAGAGACCAAGTTTTCAAAATTTTAGCCGGGTCTCTAATTATAGCCGGGTCCCTAATTATGGCCGGGTCTTTAATTACCTGTCTTGTCCGCTGTGTCCCCGCTCATAGCACATTAAAGAAAATGCTGTATATTCGGTGAATGCACGAATGAGGTCAAAAATTACAAAACTTTTAATTTTATTTGACCAAGAATGCATTTAATCATACAAAAAGTCATTTTATGATATTAAAACTTAGCGCGGAACAAATTTTAGCCGGGTCTCTAATTATAGCCGGTCTCTAATTGTAGCCTGGTCTGTGACGCACAGTTTTGGATTTTAGCCCCGGCTATAAATAGAGGTTTTACGGTATATGTGAATATTTGGCAAATACATGTGTATTTAGTTACGCTGACCAGTGTACGCAGGTTTATATAAAGATGGAAACTGGATGACAATACAAAATGTGGATAAAAGGTATATCTATGATAGCTAGTCATAGGAAACTAGAATTTGTCGAAATATCTTATAATTATTAACAGAGTAAGTATTTAATATTGCTCACTTGACAGCTATTTCCGGTATGCCGTTGAAGGTGAAAGATCTTCCAAGTTCGGTGTACGAATTGATAAATAGGCTACTGCAGTTGTATACTTCGCCCCCTAAGGCACAAGCTGTAAACATCTCGTTAACCGCCGTCATACCCTAGATAAATCCGAAAAGCCTTTAATATTTAACCAGAGGTAGTTTTTACTAATTATGCGATCAATCATCGACTTACTGCTTCTAAAAATGGCGCTATCTTTGCCGTGATGTTATAATCCAACGCATCATCACGCCCCGTCACGTTCTGGGCCGTGTAAGATTTTACAAATGCTTCATATTGTTCGGACCTTAAGTCCGTGGACACGTCAATGTTATTGACGAAGTGGTGATGCTGAAGAAAAGACTGGGTGCCCTCACAAATTTGGGATGCATCCAAGACAGCTTCCATAAAAGTTTTCATCTCCCAGAGCTCGTTGTCAGGTGCGGTTGGATTTTCTTCATATGTTATCCCCCAAAACGTGCTAGATATGCAGAATAATAAAATAATATACGCGGCAAAAATTGTAATAATAATCAAAATAAAATAGTTTCGTGCATTTTACATATTGACAGCTTGGTAAAACTTGAAAGAAATTCACAAAAAACAATTTAAAAGAATCATATTTCTTGACCCAGCTCAAAATATTTGAGTCTTAAAATATTTATTTTTACCAGTTTTATCTCAACTTCTTCAAGAATTGGCGAACAAAAATATAACAAATAGTAAAAAGTCTTCAGAAAACGAAATTGGCTTACTGAAACATCCCTTTAACCATAGATCGCTTTAAGCTCCCAGGCGGCAATAAAATTGTCCCTGGAAACGGGATTAATCCTGTGTCGATTTCCTGTGGGTCGTAAATCATGGCCAGCGGCTCGCTCACGGTTTCTTCAGTTGCCAAATAAATAAGCACGAACCCGACGAACAAACAGACCACCGTCATCACCACGTAGAACAATCTAAAACAATGAAATCATAAATGAAATTTATTACCAATTTACTATTTCCTGTATTATCGCCATAACCAGGATACGATTATATACTTCAACGTCAAAGTTAACCAATCTGGAACAAATGTCTGTGAAATCATTTTCGGTACAGTTACAAGCTCAGTAAGTAATCTTTCACGATCAATTATTCCCTAGCTTTGAAGTGTTCTTCGTCCTATTTGAGTTATCGGTAAACAATCAGATTCACCGCTCTAAAAATAAGAACGTCGGCTATTTCAAAACAAGAATCAGGTGGGACAAGGATACGTATATTTGCATATATGTATTTAGGGTTCAACATAGCTCGCAATGGACCATGGTCCACTGGACCAAAATGGTCCATTGATGGACCATGGACCATGGACCATTTTTCATATGGTCCATTGATGGACCATGGACCATTTTTTATATGGTCCATTGATGGACCATGGACCATTTTTCATATGGTCCATTGATGGACCATGGACCATTTTTCATATGGTCCATTGGTGGACCATGGACCATTTTTCATATGGTCCATTGATGGACCATGGACCATTTTTCAGATGGTGCATCGATGGACCATAATGGACCATGTTGTGGTGGACCATGGACCATTTTATTGCGAGCAATAAATCGCACAATATTTTGTAAAGCAACAATCATACCCCTAGACCATTGAGCCATTTGTATGAGCGGACATGGACACATAAGCTACATAAATGCTGCAGATTTACAGACTTATGTAACTTTCTCTTTTGCATTTATTGCAAGGATTTAGATACCCATATGCAGAGATTACAATTTGCCATACAATTTGTATGATACAAGCAGTTATGATGTTATATTTGGCTATGGTAATCTGCTCTCATGGGGTTCAAGGATATATATATTTACATCCGAAAAGGAAAAAACGCACAGTAAATGTAGAATGTGCAAATTTGGCGCATTTTCTCCTTAAATCTGTCTGGGAAATCCGCAAATTGACAGACAAGCTTTTTCAGATTTCATACTAAATATATTTGTGATCGATAGACACTACTATGTTGTTTAGTCATATTCTAAGAGAATATGCTGGGAGAGCTCCATTGTGAGAATAATTTCCCATAACTTAATTCTAATGAATACCTTTTTCTCTAGCTCCTTGCATATCTGAAGATTTTAACTTTTACAAATCTCACAAACTAACCTCAAATTTGATATACAGCATTTCCATGGCCCCCATAGCGACCATTATTCTGCTACTGGTAGTTGTGGTAACCCAGGCGCATGGAAATATGGATTACAACAAGATAAAACTGAAACCCATTCCTCGACAATATCTCGATCCATATTCAAAACTGCGCAGTAGGACACCGGACAAGTACACGGGTTGCATGTGTCCGACCAGGCTCAATACGACAGGCTCCTTCTACATGTTTTGTGGACCAGAACTGAATCCAAAAGAAGGCGGGGTTTGCCTCAAGGAGGGTATATACAGATGCATTGACGGTCAGAAGGAAGCGATTATGACAGTGGATTGTGAAAAACTGACCGCCGGGGCAACTATCTGCTATAGCACTAAGTATTGCCCACCAGCAATACAATTGAACGACTGTACAGAGAACAACGTCAAAGCATGCGATTGGTGAGCAATATAAAACATTAAATTTGCTAATTTTCAATCAGTAAGAAATTCATATTTTATGACTTCTCCAGGTCAAAAATCAAACGTTGAGATGAATTTTGCGTCAACTGAAGAATTGAGAATAGATGGACGCGACGAGAAGACCAATACACTAACTTTTCAATCTATTAAAATTCATAAAATTTATGACATATCTGTGCATAAACCCTTGTGAATTGCAAGCGCAACAGTACCATATTATTGTCTCTTACATGATCAGTGCATTTTTTGTTCATTTTCATTGCACTTCTCCAAATTTTTGGTGGGTATGATTAACCGTGGCCGCAGAAGCGTGGGAATAGAAAGACAATGTCCTAACGGTTATTTGATGCCCCATCGCCTTCCCGTGTTATAAAAACCCCCTTCCCCTGTCCTGCGGTGTTAATGTTCCCATGTGCTCCAACAGCTTCCAGGCAAGTAGTTAAACATTTTGTGTATAGTAAGTAATGTTCGTGCAGTTGTTTATTAGAAGTATGTTAAAGCCCCATATTGGTTTTACTATTTTTTTACGTGGTAAATGCATCGTTTTAATTCTGGTCATAGTTTTTGTACTGGTCAGTGTGAGAAATAAGACAAGGAAAATAAGGTGCATGCATTAGTACAGGAGCCGGGGAAAATAAGGTGCCGTATGTACATAAAGCATGAAATTGATTTTCAGAGAATTTTGAGAAAATTTAAGTCAGGAGGAAACCATGGTGTAGGGTTTTTTAGAGCAAAAAGATTTTTGTCAGATATTGAGGGGCACCCATGAGGTCTGTTTCCAAATAAATAACAGCAGAAATCCAAGGAACAAACAGGTTGACGTCGTCACATAATATAATCGGAAACAATGCATTAATAAACCAATTTTATTACTACCAACTTCCTGATCAGTATGCACGTACGAAAATTCCTTCGACATTATAATTATGTATTGTAGCGATTTGGAGCAAGGTATTGTATAATTTCAGCTGGATAATTTAGTTCAAACTGGAGACAGTATCTTGATCAATATTCAAAATTGGGTAAGGCTGACAGGCACACGGGTTGCATGTGTCCTGCCAGTCTCAACACGACGGGCTCGTTTTACATGTTTTGCGGACCGGAACTGAATCCAAAAGAAGGTGGGACTTGTCTAAAGGAAGGGATGTATAGATGCATTGACGGTCAGAAAGATGCCATATTGACGCTGGATTGTGACAAATTATCCAAACAGAGACCACATGAATGCAAAGACGTCGATGGGAGTTGCCCAACCGTTCTGCATTTGACAGATTGTTCGGAGAACCACCCAAAAGGATGCTGGCCGACTCCGTGAGCATTATTTATGCCATATTTATCCAATAATAATCATTCACTGATAGAAAGAAATTATTTTTTTGTTACAGAAAATAAATCAACATTTGAAACAATAATAACTGTCTTTGAATAACACTTATAAATACTAAAAATACTTAACTTCGTCCCGGTAGATGTGAAAGGATTTATAATAGAAGCAATAAGCTAAGAAATTTTACAAAAATCATACTTTCTCCGTATCAGTATTAAAGCGAGTTGGTTCCTAGGTGGCAAATGTGTCCCATAAATTTTTGGTAATTGTTACCGTTCTTAAGATAAGGAAAGTATATTGTATATGACTATGACAAAAACTAAAACGCAGTGACTGTAAATTTTTAACCCGATTTCGTAAATTAAGCACACAATTAAACACACACACGTCAGAATTACTTGCCTGAAATAATAAAAAGTCATTTTTTTACTTAAAAAATTGACATTTTCATACTATTCCTGAAATTTCAAAAATACTTAACGGGAAAACAAGTATCACGTGACCTATAATTTTAGCTTGAGTTTTTTGGTGGAGCTGGATTGAAAAAAATGTTCAGTCAGAAACAGGCCAGCGTCATCACAACGTGGAAGAATCCAAAACAATGAAACAATAAGCGAAATTTGTTACTACGATTTCCTGTATCGTCGCTATAAACACGGTACGATTACATGAGCGTCATCGTTACCCAATCTGGAACAAATTTCTGTTAAAGCTTCTAACCTGCAGTGCAGTTAAAAACTCATCAAAAATCACGTACCATGTAATCTTTCAGAATAAGAACATCGGAGGCTTCGAAACTCTCCAAAAATCAGGTTGGACAAGGCTACATGCATACATTTTTACGAACTTGTCTCCGAAGAGGAGTAACCGTGCCATAAATTTGGATTAATTATAATTTGGGGCGCGTTTTCTCCTCTTCAGATTTCGATATGGCAAATCTGCGAATTGACTTTTGCAGATTTCATACAAAGTATAATTGTGATCTGGTTTGGGCAAATTCTGAGGGCGGAAATACTGATAATGATCGAAAATTTGTATACAAACGGGCGAAAACTGTATTCATGAAAACCCAGAAATAGATACGTATGCGTCGCCTAATTTTTGAGTGCGTGAAAATTTTTCACATACAAAGACCGGTCCCACTCGGAGAAAATTTTCATTCCTAAGCATATCCATTTGTCTAATGTATGTATGTATATACATATTTCCATGCATACCTCACCCCAAAAAGTGACATTTTTTAGAATGTAACCTGACAATTTTAAGATAGTACAAGTTCCATTGCCTAAGTTCTATCTTGGTTTAGAGCATTTCCATGACGACCATGGGGACATCTATTTTGATACTGATATTACTGGCAAGCCACGCCTGTGGAACCATGGATTACGGCAAAATAAAACTAAAACCCACCCCCCGGGAGTATCTCGATCCATTTTCTAAATTGCGTCCTGGTATGCCCGACAAGCTAACGGGCTGCATGTGTCCAGCAAGTCTCAATACGACGGGCTCATTTTACATGTTCTGCGGACCGGATTTGAATCCCAGGGAAGGCGGAATTTGCCTCAAGGAAGGGATGTACAGATGCATTGACGGTCAGAAAGAAGCTATTTTGACAGCTGATTGCGCAACTTCATCCGGAGGGGGAAATGTCTGCCAAAGCCTCAATTCTTGCCCATATCCATTGAAATTGAAAGACTGTTCAGGGAACAACCCCAAAGCATGTGTTGCGTGAGTTGTAAAATATTCATACATATATACTCAATCAGTAAGAAATTAATATTTTGTAACCTCTTCAGGAAAAACCCTTGATCTTCCTGGCAGACAAAAATTTTAATTTCCTCAAAATTATATACTATGCGTCATGTTAGGAACTGGGACCAGAAAGATCCGACCAGAAGACTATTAAATTTACTTTTCAATCAGCGTATGTATAACTCACTTTGTCAAACGAACCAAATTACTTTTCAAACTATATTCTATAACCTCTAGCATGTCAGAATTTAATGAAATTGCCTACTTTCACAAAAACTAGCTTTTTCAAAAAATTATGAAAATTTTATTCTGCATGCGCCAAGATTGCAACGGATGTCTAAACCGGGTTCAAATAACATCACACATACTTTCTTCTTATTGGCGTAAATTAAATTGCCACAAATTATTGCCACAACTTTGAAAACCACCCCATTTCTGATTATATCAAGAGAAAGTGGACGCCATCTCTTCCAGCCTCCACAACCCGGGAAATCTCAATAACCTTTCGAATGCAGTCACTTTACGAATGCACAAATTAGTCGCCTGCTGGTGAGAGACGAGACATTGACGAAACAAAGTCCAATTTGGACGGATAGGGGTATCCATTAAAGGCGAAAGTTTGTATTAGAATTTGTTGCCAGGGGCTACGTGACCAATGTTGGACTTCCTAGTCCTTTTAATTGGTGGTCATTGTTTCTATACTGGTTAGTGTAAAAAATAAGACGGGCAAAGTGAAAAGAATATTACTAAAATTATACAAATAAATCAGGAGGAAACAAAGGTGGACGAATAATTTACTCTGATAGTGAGGGGCCATTCAGGTGGACCGTGTTCCAAGGATCAAAATTTAAAAACCAGCTTGATCCACATGAGCTCCAATATCATGTGAAATTTGGTGTGTGTACGATTTCCTTCCTTCTGCTAGAGGTAATAATTAATGAACCACCCCCAAGCCATGAAATTTATTTGTATGTAGATGGAGAGATGTATGTATGTATGTAGATGGAGAGATGTATGTATGTATGTACATATCAGGGTGCGTAAACATTTTTGTTGTCCATGGTTTCTCCTAAGGGGGATGCAAGGATGAATATTTTTTTCAAAAAAATCGAAAAATCGAAAGTTGGGGAATTGCATACAATTTTCCCATGAATTTGGTTGTCAACCACTTTTCAAAAATGAAATAAATACATTTTATCCTGGCCTCCATCTCCGAAAATGAAGAATAAGCTCGGAGATTGCTAAGAGCGGTCAAGTGGTTGACCAGTAAGGGTCATATAGGTCGGATAAGGTCGTTGGTACAGAATATTAGAATTTGTAAAATTTGGCTAACAACCAAATGCATGGCAAAATTGCATGCAATTCCCCAACTTTTGATTTTTCGATTTTTTTGAAAAAAATATTCATCCTTGCATCCCCCTTAGGAGAAACCACGGACAACAAAAATGTTTACGCACCCTGACATATATATGTGCGTGGCAAGCGAACTGATACACATACATATTCGTGTGCGTGCAGCCTTTGGATTATCATTTAATTAGATACAGTATGTAACAAAAGTATAGCTACGATGACATATTTTTTATCTCGACATGATGCCGTAATATTTCAACTTTGAAACTCCGTACAAAAATGTCAAAACTATCTGCCGACAATTTCCTCGTCGCCGATTTTTAATTTCGCAGATAGGTCAAAGGTCAGGATTATTTTTCTGAAAAAATTGGAGGCGTCGAAAAAAAACTTCGTGGATAATTTTTTTTGAAACTTGCAATATTTTTTACTGGATACGGCATGCGTTTTGAAGAATAATGAGCTTTGTTTGGACCGTGTACGATTTTTTTGACGCCCACAGGAATTTTTCGCCAAAAAGAGGTTGAAGGTCTAAAATCGCCGCCTTGGCGAAAATTCAAAAACTGAAATATACGTTTGCATATAGAGGGTCCGGATATGCAAACGTATATTTCAGTTTTTGAATTTTCGCCAAGGCGGCGATTTTAGACCTTCAACCTCTTTTTGGCGAAAAATTCCTGTGGGCGTCAAAAAAATCGTACACGGTCCAAACAAAGCTCATTGTTCTTCAAAACGCATGCCGCATTCAGTAAAAAATATTGCAAGTTTCAAAAAAAATTATCCACGAAGTTTTTTTTTCGACGCCTCAAATTTTTTTAGAAAAATAATCCTGACCTTTGACCTATCTGCGACATTAAAAATCGGCGACGAGGAAATTGTCGGTAGATAGTTTTGACATTTTTGTACGGAGTTTCAAAGTTGAAATATTACGGCATCATGTCGAGATAAAAAATATGTCATCGTAGCTATACTTTTCTTACATACTGTACATATAAATACATAGTTTAAACACAGACGTGTAATTTGCTACACTCATAGTAACCCGATGTCAACTGTCACCGATAGGTGTACATAAATATGTGACTTCACCGCGTGGTGTCACTCTTTCTCACCTAATGGTGGTAAAATTAACACCAGCCAATGACAATTTGCCACCATGCGAGGAAAATTTATCCCTTTGCTATGGGAAACATGATTTGGTGAAGTCACATATTATGCACAACGTGCGGTGACGATTAACATCAGGTATTTAAGAGAAAAATGTTCCGTGCAGGGTTACAAGTGATATATATCACTGAGTGAGATTTAGTGAGATTTAATGATTTATATCATTTATCTCACTTGGGGCTGAGTGAGAAATATGAGAAATAATGAGATTAACATGCAGTTAAGGACTACGTCCGCTAGGTGGCGCTAGTGCATGGCTCATAAATCTCGCTAAATCTCATATTTCTCATATCTCACTATTTCTCATTATATCTCAGTGAGATGAGATTTGTGAAGGTGAGATGAGATTTCTGCAACCCTGGTTCCGTGATTATGCTAAATCTACGCATGAATTGTAAATACCATTTTTTGGCTCACAAATTTCTTTATAGATATTTGTACATATGTGTGACACGTGGAACAATGTGCAACAAAGAAACAACAAGTGTTTTTTATTACTACGAATTTCCTTATAAAATTAATATATATAATTAATATATATAATTAATTTCGTTATAAACCCCGAACAATTCATTCAGCGTCAAGTTTTTAGAGTTTACCAATCTGGAACAACTGTAAAATTATATGCGGTGCAGTTACTTATTTATGTAGCTAAACCCTACAACGGTAATCTTTCATGGTGAATGATTCACCAGCTTTTAACTGTGATTCTATGAATTTGAGTTATTGCTGTATCGCCTAAGCTTCATATTCGCAACTTCACGAAGTTCGGTGATTTTACAGGCTCTGTATATTTAGATAATAATTTCTGGGTAGAACTGTACAATTTGAGCAGTAAGTTAGCTGGTCGCTTTATGTAAATCGTTAGATACATGCAATACCAATTATGTATAGCCCAAACTCTGTTCATTCGTAAGTTCTCAAACTTACGTCATAACTTAACCGAGCGTTGCACCTCGCGGAGTTGGGTATAATGTGCAGACGTCGGATATGAATGACCGATAAAACCTCAAAATATGAATGAAAAATGACCGTAAAAATCTCCAAAATATGACCATAAAAATGACTTTATTTTTAAAATTTTTGGCTTAATTTTTTATATTTCGTCTTGTGATACTCAATTTTTAGCAATAAAATAAGTTCTGGGGGTGATTTAACTCATTCCCAATGAATTAAATCACCTTCGGCGAAAGTGAATGTAAATTTTTGCAAGTTTTTAATAATGAAGCATTGTGAGAAATCTGATTTTTTGTCATTTTCTGTCGATTTGGTTGTCAAATCTTAGAATTTGGGCAAAAATGATAAAATGAACGAAAAAAGCCCGAAATATGATCGGGAATATGAATATGTCCCAAAACCCGAAAATATGACAAATATGAGAAAATATGCTTTGACCTACGTGACCTACCAGTGACCGTAAACATTCTCAGAAACTTTGGCGACTCTAGGTCAATAAATGGAAAAAGTAATTTTTCATTCATATCCGACGTATGATAATGTGATTCGTTTTGCAAATGTTGACATCCAAGTCAACATTAATTGAACAAACCTTTCACATTAATTTTTATAAAATAAAGGGTTCTGGACAAATTGTAATTCTAAATTGAAATGTACATAATTAGTTATCTTTGCAGCCTCCAGTTTGGTCTAATTATGCACTAGTTTCCCGTTGCATGAAACTCAAAATTGCTTTATATGAAATTCAATTATGACTAATTGTATTCCAATAATGAATCGAATTAAGACTCCCATTTTTATATTTTCCGCGTATAATCTGCCAATTTTAACATATAAATATGTTACAAACTAAGCTTTATTTTGGTGTAGAGCATTTTCATGGCGACCTCTGTCCTGATACTGGTTGCCATGGCAACCCAGGCGTGTGGAAACGTGGACTACAGCAAGATTAGGCTGAAACTCCTTCCTCAGAAATATCTCGACCCTTATTCAAAATTGCGTCCTGGGAAGCCGGACAGTTACACGAGTTGTATGTGTCCTTCCAGTCTCAACACGACAGGCTCCTTTTACATGTTCTGCGGACCTGAACTGAACCCGAAAGAAGGCGGGTTTTGTCGCAAGGAAGGGGCATACAGATGCATTAATGGACAGAAAGAAGCAATCTTGACAGCCGATTGTGAAACTTAACCTGGAGAGGGAAATTACTGCAGGACCTTCACTATTTGCCCCCCCACCAGTGAATTTGGACAGTTGTGCGGAGAACAACGTAAAAGGATGCGCTCAGTGAGAATTATGACCCAACATCATATTAAATTTGTTTATTTAATTAATAAAAAATTCATATTTTACTATACTTCTCCAGGAAATCTGTGCAAAACTCAAACCCTTGATCTATCGGCCACAGGAATATGCATATCTACCTACAAATATTTATGTATTTTACGTCTAAAATTGAAACCCTGAAGAAGCGATGACGCAACGAATAAATGTACTATTTATTTAATTTAAAATTCTTAAACTCTTGAAAATGACTGATCGAACGCGTTTTTTACAATTTGTATCTAGCAGTCATATGCATGCCTATAAGTTTAACGAAATGTCCATCTCCGCTAAAAACTAAATAGCTTATGATTAATATAATACACGATTTTTGGACAAATTTTGAATTAGTGAAGATTTTCAACTAATGAGCTGAATCACGACAGGCAACAACCCCCAAACTTTCTCCGTATCAGCGTACATAAATTATGCCAAAAAATAGAAAATGGTCCCTCTCTACCTCAACAATACGTGGACGCCCTCCTTCCCAGCTTCCTCCAATCCAGGGACGGCGGTCACGTCGAGACATATGAGGCACAAGTTGGTCGTCTGAGGCTGCCAGGCGAGACATTCACGAAACCAGATCCACCCCCTCCGCGCCTTTTCGCACCCTCCCCGCCAAGCGTACACGATCTCAAGACGCAACCACACCAACCATTCCAACACTACCTGCACACAATCCGGCATGATGACAACCCCGACAAAAAAAGTGATAACACGATCGAAAATTAAAATATGATAAGCACGGAAATAAAATTTGTAGCTATTTTTTTGATTATTTCAATGATAAAAATTAATAAAATTTAGACTGATATGGGTCTCGATTAAAGGTGAAAGTAGGTGTAAGAATTTGGGCTTGGTCTTTCATGGGCTAAAGATGGTTAAAGCATATATACGTGGCCACTGCAGGATGCGTCATTTTAATTGCTGGTCATTGTTTCTGTACTGGTCAGTGTAAAAATTAAGACGGGGAAAGTAGGTAAGTATGTATGTATGGTGCATATGGCGAAAACATTGCCAAGAAGCCAGGAGGAGACAAAGGTGCACGATTTTTTTACAACAAAGCATTTTACTCCTCAGATAGTGAGAGGGCATTCATGAGGTTAGTGTACCAAGGGTTATAACTTAAAAACCCGCTTAATCTATGTATGTTCTATAGTGGACACAATATGGCGTCAGATTTGGTGTGTTCAGTTGCCTTCCGTCATAATGAAGTTTATGAATGGTCCTCCAATCCATGAAATTTAGACCGAGAAACGTGCCTGGTAAGCGAGTTGATGCAAATTTTCATGTACACCCTTAGAAAACTGGTATTACATAAATCATTACTGACCGGAGTACATACGTACAAACTCCATCGGCCCTGGTAGTAATGGGCATTATCATTTAGTAATTTTGTGGTAATAGAAAATTACTTACCACAGAAATAAATTACGCAGAAACAAACTAGTACAACTTCGATAAGACTTTATTAAAATTAGTACCAGTGTGGAGTGTATATATGACTACCAGATTTTTAACAGCATGTATTTATGGACAGCACCAGTCTTTAGGTTCAGGTTACCATTTACTTAATTGTAAATAAGCTAAAAATACAAATACAAGTACAAATGTGCACTTATTTTACGGGGATAAAAAGTTCAATGATCATGGTACAGATTAAATCTATATGTATGTTTTATATTTTTTATGGAAAAACGCGAATGACAAATGTTGTACAATATTTCTTGAACATGTAGCTTTATGGGCCATAGGCCCATGTTGGCAATAAAATTCATTAATATTAAATTAAATTCTAATTTTAATTTCAATAAAATTTATTGGCAATAAAATTCAAATTCAATTCAATTCAATATTCAATTTATTAGCATTTGATATGGCCATGAGCCCTCATCAATAGAAATTACAGAGTTAGATATGTAAATGTAAATAAAGTAAAGTAGTCAGAGGAATAGTGGGAAAACCTGGCTATGGTGTAGAGCCAGGAAAACCACTATCACCTCTGGGAATGTGGCCCAGAGGTCCATTCGGCTCTGACTACAGAGACACCCAGGCAGGACAAATGAGTGATAGGGATCATAGGCAGATTCCACGAGGAACTGCTGATATCCAAATGAGGACGGCGTCGTGACGGCGGAAGCAAGGTGAGTGAAGGTTGTTGGGGGGGGCGTCCACGGACCACGAAATACCTTAGCGCCCTCACGGGAACGGGCTACGTGTCCCCTTCACGGTCACACAGTGTGACCAGGGCCGAGCGACACTACCCACTTGCCCCTTCACCCCTCACAGCACAACCGGGCCATGGGACCCCCGTAGGCCCGACTACACTGCCCACCGCCATGCACGACCCCGTCCCCACTCTTCTACCAACCGCCCCCACGGTCACCACCCCGATATACCAAACAATGACCTACCTGGGGGGAGTCCTCCATGGCGTAGATCCTCCCGTGCACTTGGTCCGGCGAATCCATCTTCGCCTGATGGCTCAGCTTGTCGTTGCTGGGACGGGTGTGGCAGGGGGTGTCACCAGGCACGCAGGTGGGGGGTGTGAGTGGACGAGGCTCACAGGGCGAAAAGCCTGGGACACACTTCACTTGCCCTGGCACACCCGCGACCCAGATGGAAGAGAGAGAACCCAGTTGCAGAGCGAGAGAGAGACACGTCGTGCACGGTTGAAAGCCAAAGAGGATCTCTTCAATTCAAATTCAATTCGAATCTATGTACGAATTTATGTATGTAAATACGTACATTAGTACAACATAAGTACATATGTATGACTTGTGCCATTTACTCGGGAAGTGTTAAATATCAGAAATTTATTTTTTCCTATACCTATATGCTTTTTCCATACATATGAACAAAATTCTCAATTTAAATTAGCCAATTTCGGAGATTCGTTTCGAAAATTAATTAAGCCCCAGATATTTTAAGATGGTATTATTGTGAAATGTGTTACATTCAGTATCTATGTATGTATACATGTAAATATGTATGTATTGCATATTGATTACCATTTTGTACATAACTTCGACATACATACATACATATGATTTTGTAACCTAGTTTAGTCAATATAGACATTCATAAACGTGTGTATGAAGTGTGCCAGAGCAATGCTTACACACCAATATGTATTACAGAAAGAAGACAAAAGAATTTTAAATTGGATCACTATAAACATGGGTAAAGCGCAGTGCAGATTCCTGCATGTACATATGCAAATTTGTAAATATGTACATACACATACATACATACATATTTGCATACTTGCGTACCTAAATATGTATGTACATATATGTCCCACTCCCAATGTACATATGCAAATATGTATGTATCAATATCGTCTATTTATGGCGTGTAGTTTTGCATGCACTTTAATTTTAGAAGACACATTTTGTTATACGCGATACAAATTTTATAAGCTAACATGTGCATCTGTCGATGTATGTACATATGTTCATAAATATGCGTGCAGGTGTATCTTGTGACACTGTAAGTCATAGAATTATGTAAAGGTGCTTCATTGTGTCAATATAGTGTACACACATACATATATACATATTTATGCACATTTGTACTTTTTGCAAATCTTTGAGTATGTGATACATATTTATATATGTATGTACATCGTTCGTAACATGGGAACATTTTTTGCATGCGCCTCCCAGACAGTGAAATATAAAAACGTTTAAAAGGCATTGCTGGACTGGGTGTTTGTTTAAATTTTGGCTTTCGGATCAAGCATGAAGCGTGGACTTATAATCCCATGATTTTAAGAGGTTACAGGTGCAGGCCTTCATATTGTTCTTCCCTCTTATCCTGAGTAATGTGCGTCTTGTTGCATTATTTATGTTGGTCCATACCTATGTAGGTGAAATTTGTCAAAAATTCGTCAGTTCTTCACTCTGTACAGGCCTATATAAGGGCAGGGAAGAACTGGTATGAAAGCAATTCTACCCCTTATCCAGTGGGAAAAAATACAAGGAACGCTCTTATCTATCACGCAGCCTTTGTCGGAATTCTGAGAAAACTTTGCCACCGAGGTATCCGCGACGAGTTCGAATTGAGCAAAAAAAACGAAAAGAAAAAATTCCTTAAAATGGTGTGCAAACAAATCTCGGCAAGGAAGTAGATATTTAGGCCACAAATACAACGTCCAAGGCAAATATGAAAATGGTAACTCGTAAAGAATACAGGGGAAGTCAAAATTTTACATTTTCAAAATTTTATTTTACCAATTCATATTAAGTATAACAGATGATCAATATTTTTAAAAGCAATATTTCTCAATTAATAAGTATTTAAGGCAGAAGAAGCAATATCTTTAATAGAAATATTTTTTAACCGGGATAAAATAAGTTTTCGAGTAATAAGAATTTAAAGCACTAATCAATATTTTAAAAGAAATATTTTTTTTCAAAAATCAGTATTTTTCCGTTAATAAGTATTCCAGGCAAGAAGCAACATTTTGAAAAACATTTTTTCGAAAAACAATATTTTTCGTTGGTAGTCCAGGCCAGAAATCGGATCAATGTCTAAATCCGAAAGCTTTGGGCCAGGACCAAGACCTCGGTTTATTCGCGTCTCCATGAAACGTGCCCACGAGAATTTTGCCCTTCCCGCCTTTAACTCCCTTCGTTCCCCCGTAGGAAGGGGGCAGTTGTTCTGGGTCGACCCAATCCAAGAGGAGGGGTTTCCACTCGTTCTCATCCCCGTAGTTGTCCATAATCTCGTTCGTGTCCTGTGACATCAAGGGCCGCATGGCAGACATGACCGGGGAAAAGAGAGACGGAGCTAGGTTTAAGAAAAAGAGCGAAAATTTATAGAGTTAATCCGTTTAAAATCAACGCTAATTTTCTTACAGTTTATGAACATTGTTTTCGCACTGGAGCCGGGATGATGTTTTTCATAAACACTGGGGGCATGCCAGTAACACCGGGCAGCTGGAAATATACATAACAAATATTTTCAGAAAACTTTTATAATAAAAATTTCGAATTTGTTCGGAACAAAAATTAACTTATTTCTTAAATTATTAAATTGGAAAATTCGGAAAAATAAGATTTTTCGCAAGAAGGGGCTTCATAATTCCGCCCAAAATTTTGAGATTGGCGAAATTGTACAGCTTGAAATATTTTTCCCAATTTCGTGATTTTTGCAATTTTTTTAAATTGCGATGTCCTTTCTTAATTAAAAATTGTCTAACCTGCAAAACTGACGGTAGCTTTGTTATCTTGGTTCATGAGCCAGGTGAATTGTGTAATATTTTGCCTTGATGTTGCAAATCGAGCACTTTTTGTTCAGCTTCTTCCAACATGCGGTCATAGTAGCGGAGCACGCGGTCAATCTCGCCACGTTCCGCAGCCCCGTCCAAATCCCAATCGCCAAAGTCCATGATCAAAACTGGAGCAAAATTTTAAGAAATTTTGAATTTTGAGGGTATTTATGTATGTATTTATTTATTTTCGAAAATTATCACTCACGTGGTCGCCCTTGTTTGTCATAACCGTCCAATTTGTAGGGAAAGTTTTTCTTCATATCGGAAAAGTCCTCGGTTAAAATGGATTTCATTTTGTTATCATCGCGCCAAGAAAGATGCTATTTTTTAGAAGAGGGAAATTTAAATTTAAGTTTTTCTTAGAAATATGTACGTATTTATCATAACTCATAGTTTTCAAAATAAAGCTGGCTAAATATTTAATTTGAGACAAAATTGAAATAGTTTTTCAACTTTGTTTAATCTCGGAACTTTCGAAAACTTTCGAGATTTGCGAAGGGTGTCATGACTACGCGAATTGAATGCGTTGCTAATCAGAAATATTTTTCATACCGCAAGGAAGAACAGCTCAGCATCGTCCACATTAAAGTTTTTAGCTAAATATTTTCAAAATCGAAAAATTAAAAATAATGATAAATAAGAAAAATAATTAAATTAACTATGAACAAAAATTACCTCGAAGAAATTTCAAAACGTACAACTCATCCTTGACCCAGTCCTCCTTAATTTTGGGCAGAACTCTCCTCATCAGCTATGAATTAAATTTAAAGAATAATTAAGATGAGAAATTAATTAATTAAAATTTACTAAATCTGTGGCTACCTCATCTAACGCGGCCCTTTGCTCTCCAGTCAACCGGGTGTGGTCCTCAGTTCGTAGTTTTCCAGAAGTTGCCATGGCAACGGTTGCCAGGCAGGATAATAGAACGATTTTCTTGAACATCTTGTCAATCTCAGGTTTCAAAGTTTATACTGATCTGTGGCAGATTTTGCTCCCTGATTTTATAGGAGGACGGAAGCCGACAAATTAGCATAAATACCTATAAAAAGTTACAAACTCGTTGGTTTTTATGTAAATGACGTAAATTAAATTCTTCGCTGCAGGTCTAAATAGTAATCGATTGGGTAATAAAATTAATGAATTCATGTCCACGAATTAGAGTACTTGAATACAGAAGTTCATTATCTTGTTAACATCTCGTTTGATTGACATCATCGTTACAGGATAATTTTTAGTCTGCAGGAAAACTGGAAACATAAAATGTGTTGACAAATACCGACAAAAATTTAAAGTCTGAAAAATTGTATGCGCATAAAACCTGGAATTTAAAATTTTTAACATCTATTTATTATCTTTCTATGTAATTGAGGATAAGTCTGAACAATTTTGGGTACTCAATTATTGATGGCTTATCAATGATGACATATGCATTTCAGGCCCGTAGCGACGGTGGAGAGAGGTGGAGAGACACTCTCCAGGCCGTACAGCCCAAGGGGCCGTACCGCGGGGGTCCGTAATAGAATACACCAGATAAAATCGAGGTTTCTAAGTTTTTGGGGGCATATTAGGCTGTACCACGGCCAAACTCTCCAGGCCGGACAAAACGTCGCTACGGGCCTGATGCATTTACATGCGTAAACAAGTATTTAGTGGTAAATATGTACGTTTCTTGGTGGAGGAAAAGCTTGGCGAATTAGTGAAACATATGTACACAACCAATTAGCATAATTACGGAGACTGGTTTACCTATTTATCAATTAGATTACCGTATGTACATATCAACATATGTTGCAGTGTAACTAAATAATGTTTGCAAATTCTGACTCGTTGGTATGCATGATTTATGCAAAATCAACGTATGCAATAAAAAAATTCAGGGTACAATTGCCTAAAGATGTACATATTTCGAAGCATTTGAGGATAACTATAAATTTATTTTAGCTACTTAATTAATCTTAATTGCGTGGGAACCATATGTCGGAAATTCCGTGTGTATTAAACCGTGAAAAATATTTTCACAGATGACGCAATGGCAAATGCATAATGCGTCAAATCCATATGTACATACATATTACAAACATATAAATACTCGTATATACATGATTTGCATAAATTGTGTATAAATAATTTTGCATATTGAGCAGCTTCATAATGTATACATACATACATATGTGTGTAAGCACAATTATTGGTTGAATTAGTGTTTTTTTGCATAATTTCCCATTTATTTCGAAATTTTTTGTCAAAAACAAAATCTGCAAGATTTCATTTAAATTTTACGAATCTCATTAATCACAATTATGCACGTGCATACATATCTGTATCTGTATACTTACAGAAGAAAAAAATTAAACTTCTAATCTAACTTTATAACCATAAAAAATAAAAATAAACCATCAATAAAGTGAAATTTGTCTAGAGATTTGATTCACTAACTAAACTTTACTAAATTTTACACCGGTAACAAGTTTAACTTAACAAGCAATAAATATAACGTATGTATAACAAATAAATTATGTAGGTCATCATTTAATCAAAAAATCACTCCCCGTCACGACACGTTTTTCCTCCTTGAAACATCTTAAACTTGGACACCTCCAATTTGTTGGACACCATGAAATCCAGCATCTTCTTACGGGATTCTGCGCCAAACTGGAAAATTGAAATAAATTGTACTTAATATTACTTCCAGCAAAGTTAATCAGTCCTGAAAATGGAGGTTGCCCAGCGTATGCTCTCCGATTTCGACCAAACTTATGTCACTAGATCACAAATTTTATTAGGATGAAATTTGCGAACGACACAATCCCCAAATGGGCACGTTTGACAGAGATATTTGCATCCGAAGAGAAGAAAACGCACAGTAAATTTGGAAAGTGTAAAATTTGTCGACTTTAAGACGCGTCTTTTCTTCGGATGCAAATATCTCTGCCAAACCTGCACATTGTGACATCATGTCTTTCACAAATTTCACAATAAATAATCGATTGCCAATAGTTTTATAAAAATCGGACAACATACACTGGGAGACTTCCCTTAATAATAAAGTCATATCAGTAAATACTCACGTAAAGGAATAAGATCGTGACCTCGTTCATGTCGCGCATTTCCATGAGGAGAGTTTCAAACAGGTTCATCTCGCCCTGAGTCAAGTTGTGGGTCGGATAATACATGCACTTCATTAGACTAATTTCCAAAGTTTTTAATCTTTCTGAAATTTCAATTCACAAAAAATAAATAAATTTAGGAAAAATTGCTCTTAAAAATTTTGAACTGTCCTCATTTAACGTTAATATCGATAAGAACTCTGCAACTTACTTTATTAAAATTTAAACTGACCTTTAAACAATTCCCTGTTATCCAGCAGATCCTTAATCATATCCTCGACATTAGGATACGTGGACACGCCCAACTTTAGATGTTTCAACCCCCTCCAACCCCGACACGCTGCGAGCACGGCGCCCATCTCGGTGTCACACTTTCCCCAAGGAAACCCCCATCTTCTTCCACCACCACCACCGCCAGACAGGATTCTCGCCTCATACAACGAATCAACCTTCAACTCGGCCACGTTCGGTAACACGGTCTCCAATCCGTCCAGCAGGGTGACCTCGTGCACACCAATAAGCACCAGATCCGTCACGGTGGCCACGATCTGTCCCGAATTTCGGAGATTTTGCAAAATTTCATCGACACCTTTCGAACATTGAAACGCTTCTCCAACCACGATCCTGGTCAGAGAGGGCATCAAGCCTGCGATATTCTTGAAGAAGTCGCCGCATCGAAAAACGTCCACCATCATGTTCCGAAACATCTTCAATTTAGCCATCCCAGGCAAGAGGACTTCGAAACTCTCAATGTTTTGGATCCCTGTCTTCCCCAGGCTCAAATTGATCAAATGGTCGCTCACTTGTGCCAACATTATCGACATGGCAGACTTATTGGAGGATTCTGTTCGGCAAAAGAGGTCTTGCCCAATCGCTAAGGTTTCGAGATGAGGCGAAATTGCGAAATCTGGATAGAATCCGACTGGAAGGAAAATCTCTCGTAAATTCGGCGCCGAGTGGACCACCTGCTGTGTAACGTGGGGAAGAATCGAAAACCTTGCAAGATTCCGGGGGTTGCTGAGAGTGACGGCCACCGTGGTCAAGTTTGGTTTCGGGGATAGTGGATGGAATAAAATTTCAGAAATACTGTAATTCGACGATGCCGTTCCTGGTGTGACCTTGATTCTCAACTGGGTCAAATTTGGACAGCAATTCTTCAAAACGTGGTAAATCGGTGGTAAGTAGTCTTCCGAATGGGTGGAAATTTCTAGGATTTGTACACGTTGGCTAAACTTGTCGCAAACGTGGAGCAACTTTGTCCCAAAGTAGTTGATTTTGGTTTTGGGAGCCAATCGAGAAGACGCCGAGCTCGAGGCCCAGATGCGTTTCGCAAGTCGGGCATCTAACGTTAGGCAGAGCGTGAGAAAGGGAACGGGACCGGGGTCAATGTCCTCATCGTCGTCATCTTCTTCGCTGGTGTCAAACTGGAAGAGATTGTCTTCGGCGAGGGGAAGTTTTCGGAGCCTTAACGCGAGTCTCGTATTTGGGAGGGAGAGGACCATGTCGTTCCAAAAGTGAGAGACGAGTCGACAAGTTTTCAACGAGGTGTAGGCCTGTTGCAGGATTTGAGTCAAAATCTGCGTCAGAAAGATTTGAGAAATATTTAAAATTTAAAACTTTGAAAACCGTTTAAAGTTATGTATTTGAATTATTTACATACGTAGGTGTTTTATTATTGATTTTCAAAAGGTATGTTCCGCACTGTTTCTGACCAAAATTTTAATGAAATAACAAGCTTCAAATACATTTAGGTGGCTGTGATTTTTTTCAGTTCTGTAGGTCAACATAAACACTAGCAATAAATCGGCAAACTTTACCTCGACGGAAAAAATGCTAGATTTGCAATTAAGAGGTGGATTGACAGATCGTATGGATGACATTGTGTAGTGATTTATTTTAACACAAGCTTTCGGAAAACAACTGTTTCCTTCCTCAGGTGGTTAGAAATAATTACAATAATTATTTACACTTGACAAAGTTTAGTGAAGAAATAAGATGGGTAATAAATAGCAAAATAGTTGTTGACAGTAAGTTGTTGTCACAGACGCTGGGGTCGTGGCGCTGGTGGAATTATCAGCTTCGATGTAAGGGGAAGTAATAATGAACTCCATATAGGATTGATGTCCATCCCCATATCTCTGTTCATTCTATGTGGAGTGTTTTTGATAAATAATGCTTCTTTGAATTTCCGATGGAAATATCTTGGTTCCCTATTAATTAGAGTTGCTGACTCTTGATTTATTTTGTGGGATGAATTTTGTATTATATGTAGAGCGACGGCAGATTTGAGATTTTTCTTTGTTATATCTCGTACGTGTTCCTTAACTCTTTCTTCCACTGATCGCGATGTTTCTCCGATGTAGGTGGATGGACAAGTGGCGCATTCAATTTTATATGTACCAATTTGTTTCGGTGGCTCTTTTTGCTTGTGCGAGCATATTTGGTTACCAATTTTCTTTCCAGGAATGAAACCGAAATCGCAGTCCAGTTTTCTCCTGAGGTATGTGGTAAGGTGGTGTGTCACTGCACCCATATATGGAAGTATCATACGTTTTTTCGGTTCCTGTTCCTCGTCTTGATTCATTATTCTAGATTCCATTCGACGTAATCGGGAGGAGATCAAGGAATTGGGATAACCGTTATTCAGAAGTTGTATCCTCACGTGTGCGACCTCCTCATCTAAAAATTCTGGGTCAGAAATTAATAATGCCCGATATAACAAAGCATCAATTACTGAGATTTTATGAAGGATGATGGTAAGACGAATAATTTAGATATCGACCAGTATGCGTAGCTTTTCGGTAGACTTTCTTCCGCAGTTTTTCATTTTGGTCTCGTATAAGAGTGACATCAAGAAATGAAAGCTGTCCATTTATTTCTTCTTCATGTGTAAATTGAATACTTTGGTGGAAGTTGTTGAATTCCTGTAGTAAAGCGGTTTTGTAGATTTGCAAATTAAATATCGTAGTGTGATTTAATTTTTAATGCTGGATGGGCAATACGTGTCGCAGATTTATGATTGAATGCTTACAATTTACGATGAAAACTGCTCAACACAAAACACAAATTCAATTGGGTTAATAATTTTAAATGATGGCGAAACGAGGTCTCGGGCAAAAAGTCGCAAGGACGCTCAAAATCCGCTTCTTCCACAGAAAGGCTCCGGAAACTAGAGGAACCAATAATGAGAGATCCGCGATTGAAACTGTCCTATATAGCAGATGAGATGGGTGTTCCAAAACCAGCAATTTGTTCCATGTTAACTGAAGACTTAGGTATGAAAATGGTTTCCGTCCGTTGGGTACCAAAATTGCTTTCGGCATCTCACAAACTTAAAGAAAAACATCAGGGGAAAACGGTTTTCGGATGATAATGAAATCAAGTCGTAAATTTTGGCATATTTTCGAGGTAAATTTTAATGAGTTATTGCTAGTGTTAATGTTAACCTACAGAACTGAAAAAAATCACATCCTCCTAAATGTATTTGAAGTTTGTTCTTTCATCAAAATTTTGGTGAGAAACAGTGCGGAACATACCTTTTGAAAATTAATAATAAAACACCCACGTACAATTGGATTATTTAGAGCGACCTGCACCATACTTGTCCCCCATGGAGCACGAGAATTCATCGCCGTCGAGTTAAATTGCTGTAATTAAAAGCAGAAGTAACCACATTTAATTTGTTAATTGTGAATTGTTAACGAATTAAATTAGGTATTTATTTATGTAAAATTATGTATTTACTATCGCAATCGGATTATTTTGGGCGATCTGTTCCATCTTCCGTGCAGATTCCATCGATAAATTGATGTACTAACAACTAAAGAGCAAATACAAAATAAAAAATAATAATTAATTAAATTGTTAACTTGAATTTAATGTTCCTTCCGCAAATTATTAAAAACTTGTGTAATAATTTATGTAACAAATATTCCCGACGCGTTACCAATGATTTACCTATTTAATATTCAGCTTTTTTCTTCAATTTAATCCAAAAGAAAAGAGGTGGAAATATATTTTTATATTTTTTATTAGTGTGTCGCGTGGAGAAAGCACATGTTCCGGAACCAAACTTAATCTGCCGCTCGACGGAAAAACACAACGATCAGGGCCCATCCATGTATTACATCAAAATTTTGGATTTTAGTACCCACTCACCCAACCCAAGTTACACGATAAGGCCTTTAATTTGAGGGATAAGAAATTTTCATGGAATAGGAATAGCAATCCTTACAAGATTGCTCATACATATTTAATAAATTTTAATATGGGAAAGATGGAAAGACCTAATACCAATACCCACCCACTATTTTGACGATGTAATGTATGGACGTTCCCTCATGTAAGCATGTTATGTAGATACATACATTGGGGAATTTTGAGATTTCTTTGATGCTTTTGTAGGCTATGTATGTATTTGTAGTATATGTAAATGTATTTCAAACTTTTTCTGAAAAAGTTTTTCAATAACAACTCGATTGAATTGAAACTTTGGGACATTGCTTATAGTTACAAAAAATATATCTTTTGTCATGATTAATACATTTTTGTTTCCTATATTTATTATAAAAGACGCTTCAAGTCCAAATACATCGTAAAATACATACATATTTCATATCAACATTAAAAAAAACTAAACGTCCAGCGCCTTACAATAAGACCCTTGTCTGATAATTAACATGAAAAATTGCATATTAATACAATATAAATACTTACATAATTCATACATGAGCCAATTAATAACTAACTATAATCAAATCATATAATACAAAATTTGAACTAAAATTTATACAAAATAGTCCTTTAAAAAAGATTAACTAAATATTTACCAAGAGAAAAAATTATTCCATGAAATTCATCGTCAGAAATATTCCAATAAATACAGCTTAATTTACGGTTTACTCGTACTCACCGACTTTTCCACATCATCGACAACCTTCCCCTTTCGACCGTCAAGAACCAGAACCTTATTAATTTTATCAATTATTTCGTCATAAATTGCTGGCTCCTTTTCACACAAAGTCAGAAACTTGACAACATTTGCATCCCGAGATTGATAAGTATTAACTAAATCGTCATTAATTTGAAAATTTGCCATTCTCGCCAAATCCACCCTGAGGGCGGACGACCTCGCATGCTCATTTTTCGCCTCGACGACCTTGCTTTGAAATTTCTTCCTGAGTTCGTAACATTCTTCGACATTTCGAGCCAGATTTTTCACCGAAGTCGCATAATCGTCCGCCCTCTTTCGTAAATCTGCAGCAAAATCGTACACCTTGGGAAGAAGGGGGTCCACCCCACCCACCATCAAGGAGGAAGAAGAAGGTGCATTTGCCTTTCTCGGTAAAATTTCCCCTTCAGGTTCCTCCTCCCCCCGGGGGAAAAGTTCGGGCGAATTTGAGCGAAAATCTAGCCTCAACTTGTACCCATTATTCTGACCGGGAAAAATGTCTTGTTCGAAACCCACCACATTTAGCAGGATTTGTGCCACGACAAGATTTGGACTTTGATATTTGACCTTTTTCAAATCCTGTTCTTTCCCCTTGTACAAATGATACACGAGGAAGGAGAGGGATTTCAGGAATTTTGGAAAAATTGGAAAAGTTTTCGAAATTACGGACCAGCTCGCATACTTTTTGTATAAATTACGCTGAACACTATGACTTTTTAGGGATTTGAAGAAAGTTGAGGTTGAGTCTTGCACCAGGGTTTTCCACGTGTCCAGGTTATCATCTCCAAATACTTTTAAACCATCGGGGGCATCCTTCTTAGAAACGAAGAGGATCACAGACTCCAAAATGGCGACGATTTCATCCTTGCAGTCGAATTTGTAGACCCAATTTCCTTTATAGAGGAGTCCAACCGGGCTGATGCAAGTTTCCAAGTAGGAAACAAATAGGTCCAGGGTTAAGACTTTAGTTTCCGGTTTGGTTTCGAGTCGGGGTTGTTTTTCTGGTGGGGGAGGAGCAGCCGAAGTTTTGCTGTCGACATTGGAGGCACCTGAAATTGGTCTGACTGGATTTCCCACGTAGAGGATTTCCACATCGGTACGAACAATAGGATCACCAGCGACGACCATGGTGTCGTCCTCGTCGAAAAAGTTGGGCGATGATGATGACGACAATTCGGCTCGTTCGCTGACATGAATTTGTCCCGACCCCTGTGACCTGCTGAGACCCTTGCCACTCATTTCTGTATAATAGGAAGTGTTTAAAATGGTGGAAGTTAGCTTCGAGCATTTGTATGTATATATAAAAATTTGAAAATTTGATGAGTACCTGTGAAAAACACTTCGTTTTGGTTGGGAAGAGAATGCCTTGAATCCCGTGCCTTGCGACTCAAATTGTCCTACAAAGTATTTGAAAAGGTGGAATTTAGATTCGAATATTTGTAAACAAAAAAAATGGATAAATTTGCTAAAAACTTGATGTAAATTTACCTATAAAAAACACTTCGTTTTCGTTGGGAAGAGAACGACTTGAGAGGAGTCTTCTGGAAATTATAGTGCACCTGTAATGAACAATTCGTTAAAACAAATTTCGTATTTTTTTACAAGAATAACAAATAAGTGAAAAAGTTAAAAAGTTTTACAAAATTTCTTGCCGGCAGCTGAGATGGAAAAGTTCTACTTTTGCCGGTGGAACGGGGCAAGTTGTATTCTTCTCATTTACGTATTTATCATTTTCATGTAAAATTTTGTGGAAGATATTTTTTCTCAAAACTATAACTTATGAAAATTATAAACTATAACTTCGTCAGTCTATAACTTATGCAGCATTTTGATACAATCAGATAATGAAAGTTCCCATTTTTATGATATTAATTCAGGAATTGTAAATGTACCTTGGTCATGATAAACACATCTTTATATTTATTATAGAGCACGCTTTGAATAATAAATAATACATCAAAAAATACATGTTTCATTTCATATTTACAACCATATCAGTATTTAAAAAATTAAACGCCCAGCGCTTTACAATAACGTCGTATAACTAAATATTTAACTACATAATTAATAATTAATCCAATGAAATCATCAGTCAGTTAAAATTTTACAAATTCTACAAAATTATGGGCGATGGAACTAATTGTAATAAATTATACAAAATGGTACTTTAAAAAATATCGACTGTTTAACAATCAAGAAAATGTAAATATTAAGGTATAGCAATTAATTAGCCATAATTAATTAATTTCTTCTAAACAAAGACAGACAGGTTTAACTTGTCCTCTTCGGAGGAGGTTCAAGAACGTTGTTAACCTTGTCAATTATTTCGTCATAAATTTCCGGCTCCTTTTCACAAAGAGTCAGAAATTTCACAACTTTTACGTTTTCCGATTGATAAGCATTCCCTAAATCGCGTGTCCCTTGAAAATGTGCCTTTCGGACCAAATCTACCCTAAGAGCGGAGGATTTTGCATGCTCACTTTTACTTTCAAGAACCTTCTTTTCAAGTTTTGTCTGTAATTCGTGACATTCCTCCACGTTTCGAGCCAGCTTTTTCAACGAGGTGGAATAATCGTCGGCCGTCTTTCGTAAATCGGCAGTAAAATCGTAAACTAACGGGAGAATGGGATCTACTCCACCCACCTCCATCGAACGTGTCTGACTACTGTTCCCAGGGAAAATTTTCCCTTCAGGACCCTCCCCCAGTGGGAAGATTTCTGGAGAAATTGACAATTTTTGAAAATCTAGCTTCAACTTGTACAAATTATTTTGACCAGGAAATACATCTTCTTCAAAAGCAGTAACATTTTCCAGAATTTTTCCCACCACGAAATCTTGACCTTTCACTTTCTTCAAGTCCTCTCCTTTTGCCTGGTACAAATAATACACAAAGAATGACAGGCATTTAAGGAATTTTGGAAAAATCGGGCAAACTTTTGAAATTACGCAGTATCTCGCATATTTTGCGGCTAAATTATATCGAGCACCTGAACTTTTGTGCAGGGATGTAAAGAAAGTGGACTTGTAACTCAGGGTTTTCCACGTGTCAAAATTATCATCGCCGAATAATTTCAAACCCTCGTTCCCATCATTTTTAGAAACAAAGAGAATCATCGACTCTAAAATGACCTCAATTTCCTTCCTGCTGCTGAATTTATAAGGCTTCCCATTACCGACAAGTCCATCAGGGCTTATCAAAGCTTCGAAATAGGAAACAAATTCATCAACATTCAAGACTTTAGTTTCGGGTTGGAATCGTGGTAGTTTTTCGGGTGGAGGAGCACAAGAAGTTCGGACATTTGCCGGGGCGTTGGAGACGTTGACGGCGGCGGCGGCGGCGGAGGAAGTAGTTGACCTTGGCTGGACTGGATTGTTTGCAGATTTCGACACGATTTCGACATCTTGTCGCCGTCTTCGTCCTCCAGAAGCGACGAGATCGGGTCCAGGAATACGAACAACCGCGTCGTTGGACTCGTCCTCATGCTTGATAAGGTTTGGCGCAGACATCGGAGGTGGAGGAGTAACGACGACCAACCTTGGCAGAGATACTGACAACGTTCTAAATTCCATTTTGACACCTTTCCCAGTCATTCCTGTGTTCCTGCGTAATGAGAAGTTATTAAAGTATTTAAAATGGTGGAAGTTACATAAATTCAATTATTTATAACTAAAGCATGAGAAATTGCTATTTATAACTAAATTTACCCCTATTTGTATTAATTTGTAATCAGACACTTTGTTTTTCTTGGTTAAAGAGAGCGACTAGCTGCTTCTTCCGACATGGAAATCTGAGTGATGAGCACCTGTACCTGCAGCAGAGACCTAGTTGAAATAAATCGTTTTACAAAAATTAGAATAAGTTTTAAGAAAAAGTTTTACCAAAATTTGTTGTCACGAGAACGATGTGGCTGCCGAAGTGCCGACACGTGAAGTGGACCAGTTCTACGTTTTGCGGAGTGGAGAAATAAAGCGAGTCTCAAATTGTCTCAAATTTGCCCCCGTAGTTCTCAAATCTCAAATTCTCATCGGCATGAGACGACATCTCAATATCGCCGTGTCTCAGTACCCACTTTGCATATTATGCAAATTACGCATGCAAATAATTAAGTTTGTTGTGCAAAGTATGTACATATGCAGAGTTAGAAAATCAGGATTAATTTTCTTTTTGAATTATAAATACATAGCTCCTAAATGCATAGCATATGCTCGTGTGTGTCATATTGCGCCAAAGCTTGATAATTGTTTTCTTACTATTCTAAGTTTAGTTTGCAGCTAGTTTATGCGAAGAGTTTGTCCGTCTGTCTGTCCGTCATCCTTTCTAGTTTCTAAGCGTTTGTAAAAAGCGGATGAAACATTTCCGATCCGATTTTCATGGAATTTTGACTCCTAGTTTTACTCATTGCCTCGAATGCCTTGAACCAGAATCTGGTTACTACTAGTTACTAGATCCTACCTCAACTAAATATGTCACATGGTTTAAATATGTACAATCCCTTATTTCATATATAAAATGTATTTACAAATTTACATATGTACCCATGTAGCATGAAATCCTCGTTACTTACATAAATACACTAAATATATACGTGTGAGCATTATATAATTCTCCTTCATGCTGACCTCATGCTTATTTCTCATTTCTAAAAATTTAGTTATCCTTTAACAGCCCAAAACTCACTCATGCATGTTTCCAGCTTTATCCAAGAAGCAACATGTGTATGGTAAATGCGCATTCATCATATGTACCTTTCCTCAATACATACGTACATAGATTACATAAACCTTTTCTGTCTGGTCATATTTTTCCCCTCCACCAAAATTATCACATAACCTGTCAAAACGATTAGTTTATCGGTTTATTTAATCTATATTCGTCGTCATCACTTTGTAAATAGGAATAAATATCGACATATGTACGTGTCAGACCTCAGCTGCACATTGTCATATCCAGTCGTGCCCGTACATACACGCCAGAAGGAAATATTTGAAAAATAATTGAGTCATGTCGCACAGAGGAATTCTTACCAGTGCAGTAATGGCATCACATTCGGAGAGAAAACGTAACCAATTTTATTAATTACTTTTTAATAAAAATGTGCAAATATAATAGAGATTAGAAATAGATTTGCATTAGATTCGCTGCTTATTGAAGGGATTTTATATGTAGATTCAACTTCATATTGCGTTTCATAAATGTATTTAAAACGACGTTTTACATAAATCATATTATGCAACTAATTTATGCATGTTTATTTCCTAAAAACTAATATCCCAATTTGATTCTTATGCAATTTAGAATTTGACCCCGTGAAACTTTATTTTTTGTAAGTATTTATATACTTAGATTGACCAAAGTAAATATTTTAACCGTCATTTATTTACAAGTAAAATTTCTTACACAATTCATTAGTAACTTGAAAAATCCGTGCGTTTTGTAAGGCAAATTTGCAAACTTTTAGAAAATAATAAGACGCACTTGGTTTGAGTATGTATGTAAGTTTGCAAAATTTTGTAAAGGTTTGAAAATTTTACGGATTTTACAATGTTACCAAGGTCTGCGTGACTTGGCTAATTAATTTCAATTGCTAATTACATATTTATTTGTCCAGGTGCGGGATACGCCGCGTGTCAGGTGGAACTCATTTTACACGACGTGATCTCCATGTCTGGTGGAGATGACGCCGCCGAAAAGCCAGAGCTCGCCATGATCCGCCAATGCCACCAAGTGACGTCTTCACTCGTCAACTTTCTTGAGGACGTCATCCCCCCCGAGACCCCCACGCAGACGGAAATTGTCCAGGAAACTTTGAAAGATCCCACCTTTTCGAGAAGTGCAGGAATGCTGAGTGGTCATCTTGTCGGTAATTTATCATAATTTCCATAATTTCGAATTAAAAATATTACAAGCATAAAAATATCGATTTTTGCGTGGTAAATAATTGAGAATCAGAAATGAATACCGTACGGTATTATTTTAATACTGTATTTCTAGGGGTGTATGCATGTACACATTTTTTCAGAATTTTATCAATTCCTTAAATTTCCAGGCCAATTGCTTAAAATGGTGGCGGAGATGACGCAGGCGAAATCAATTTTGGAAATTGGCACGTATACGGGATACGGCGCCGTAACTTTGGCGGAGACCTCGCTTTGCGTAAATTCACAAATTATTAACCTTTTTAGGAAACTTTACTTTAAATTTTCGAAACTTGTTTCTTTTATTAGAAAGAGGTAATCACCCTTGATAACGAACCGTATTGTAAAGAATTTTTGGCAAAACATTTGGAGGGCAAGGGTCACCTCAAGGACAAAATTCGTTCTGTCATTGGCCCAGCGATTGAATCCTTACAGCTCTTGAAGGAGGAGGGAAAACGTTTCGATCTGGTTTTCATCGATGCGGACAAATCATCCTACATCAACTACTACAAGGTACAAACACACTCTAAATAACGTCGTGTAAAATTTAGTCAAGGTTGAGTTAAAATATGGGATGACGAAAATTGGGTAAAATTTTACACAGATTTTGATAAATTTTATTTTTCCCTGTATCATGATCACACAACAATTTGGTAAAATGTATCCAAACTTTGCAGAATTTTATGCAATTGTTGTGTTTTATTTAACCTTGACTAAATTTCACACAAGTTTATTTAGAGTGCATTAAAAGTGGTTTAAAACAAAGTTATGTACCAACCGGTAATCATTTTAAGTTACGATGCATTTTATTGTACAAATACATTTAATTTCGCAACTCATGTCGTGCAAATTTTCGTACAATTAGTGACTCGCAAACATATTCAATTACACAAAGTTAATTTATGTATGTGTGTAATTAAATTTTATTGTGTCAAATTTTGAAATGTGACCATTTTCATGTAATGAAAAACATATTGTTGTATTTTTTCTCACTTATAGTTCATCCTGGCCAACAACTTGCTTGAGAAGGGTGGCGTCATCCTGTGCGACAACATCCTCTGGGGGAACGATACTTTTCTGGAGAAAGCGTCCCCTCAGGGACAAGCTCTCTTCGATTTCGTCCAGTTCGTCAAGCAGGACGACCGAGTTGAGCAAGTAAATAAATGATTATTTTTAATAATTTCGTTATTTACATGCACGATATTTGAAATAACTTTTAAAATTTTGCATGTTCATTCCAGATGATTTTTCCCTTTCGCGACGGCGTCTTCCTCATCCGTTTAAAGAATTAGGGATACTAATTTGAAATCATGCCTGGATCGGAGAATTTCTAAATTGGGAAATTTATTCCAAATTACAAATATTGGATTTTATTTCTGAATAAATAAATAATCGAGTTCTGATTAGTATGATGTCGTAAAGTGCAAAATTTACGTATTACGAAAAATTATTTCTGCAATGGCGAAGACAATTTTTTAGCTTTTATAGCTAAATAAACTCGAGTAAAATTTGCGATGACAGAAATGATTATGTAAAATTTACCCGACGAAGGTATAAAATGTACTTTACATTATAAATTGAAATTCTATTTCAAAGTTGTAAACTTTGTAGAATTATGTAAATGTATATAAATTTTAAACAATCAGTTGTGCCATCCTAAATTTTACTTAACCTTGATTGATTGAATTTTAATACAATTTAGTTAGAGAGTCTAACTTAGAGTGCACTTTCGTCCTTAGATTATCGTAATTAGATAAATTATGATAATGCCTGTTTCAGGTAAAGTTAGTCAAAATTGAGATCTCACAGATTTTTACCAAACTAGGGTCAAATAGATAACAAATTTAGTTAATATAAAATTAGCGAAAGACACAATCTCCCAATGGTCACGTTTGCCAGAGAAAGTTGCATCCAAAGAGGAGTAAATTTGAAAAACGTAGATAAAATTAGTCAACTTCCTGCTGCGGTTTCTCCTCTTTAGATGCAAACCTCTCTGACAAACGTGCCCAGCCCGAGATCATGCTTTTTGCTAATTTCATATAAATTAAATTTCTGCTATATGGAGACTATAGTTTGGACAATCGGATAGCACACGCTGGGAAACCTCCTTGTACATGTGTAGGTATGATTTTACTTAAAAATTGGAAAATTTGTATAATTTTGAATCAAAATTTTTGATTCATGAATAATTTGCGGTATTTGTATGAAATTATTTATGCATGCATGTAAATAATCACAGAATCTATATTCTGTGGTAAACAGGGCCGTAGGAGCACTGGTTTTAAGTGGAGAGCACTCTCCAGGCCGGACGGCCCGAAGGGCCGTACCGGCCGGGTGATGCAGACACTAGATATTATTGACCCTCCGAAGTACATGTTAACTTATACAAAGAACCTAATGTCCCAAACCAACGCTTACATAGTTATAAATTGAATCTTGATTTTGTTCACTTCTGAAAAGTTTCAATGATCTCACAAAATGATTCAATGCTCAAACTTAAGCCTTCTGTGACGATTTCTGTAAATCGGTTGAGGTAACATAAGATAAATAATCCTGCAGTTGAAAAATTTTCAAGTTTGTGTTAATAACCTTATCAAACAATTTGTCATGTGTAATTGAAAAGGGCGTGGCACTATCAATCGAGCATTAATAACTTAACCATTCTATCTGTGTCGACCCACTCATGCAAAATGTTGGCGTAAATACATGATCCCTACTTCACCAAATATTTTTTTGTCTAAACGACCTTTAAAGTCTTCATAACAATGGCGAGGAGCATTTCCTCTTTAATTTTCTCAAAATCTATGAATGCGTTCTAGCATTTCCGGGCGAAAAAACTGATTTGCATGCGTTACCTTTTTTCTAGGAGCTTTAATTCACGAAAGTGGGGGGTTACAAATGCTAATACGCATCTGTCAAACAGTGGACAAGTAGAAATTGAATTCTGAAAACGATAACCAAAATTGTCTTAATGTACATAACTTATTCAATAATTTCTGTTTCGTGAAATTTGGCAATCAAGTCTCATCTCTGCGACATCCAAAATCGGGAGATTTTGAAAACCGGTTTGAAATGGAGTTGTTGCAAATTTAAGTAACCCGATTATCTATTCTATGAAAAACGGTTCCAAACCGTTTTTAAAAGCCTTGTATTAGTTAGAATTAAAAAAACTTTCTCAGTACAGTAATAAGCTATAATTTAATTTAAAATCACATTTAAATATGAACTTGAGATTTTCGGGTATTTTATATTTATGTATATCAGCAATTAGGAATATTTGTGGCTAGATAAAGGTAATGTTTTTACAAAAATATAGACTTAACCAATCATGAAAATTTCGAATCGATTTAGGAATTTTCACGCACGTTGGAACGCTTAAAATAATGACTGGAAGATATACGAAATAAGAAAAGTCCTTGGAAGTTTTTTTATGGGATAAAGGGCGATGCATTTTTACAGTTAAAAACAAGGGCCGTCATATGGAACAAGTTTCGCCTTAGGAAAATACGCTTGTGGGGTAAAAAAATTATTCAACCCTTCTACGAATAAATGGGACACCCTCTGTATTTGTGACGATAGCCTTGGATAAGAAATAAGCGACCGAAATCCGCTGAATCAATTTTAATAATTTTGCACATAAAAGGCCGGACCAGAATTTTACTCTCCAGGCCGGACCAAGGACAGATACGGCACTGGTGGTAAATAATAAATTGCAAACGGTGTGAGGCGAGTCATCGAGTGAAAAATCATGAGCGGAGAAATTGCGATGGGAAACAAAGGAACAACTTGACATCGTGGCAAGATTTCTATTTGCTTTGCTGGCCAACAAACAACTTGTTCAGTTCCCAGCTACGCACAGGCAAACGAACATGATTAATTAATTATTCAACAAAACGTTTCGAAAATAAAGTGAAAGCTTTAACTCGTTTTAAGCCAATTCATTCATCAGGTTAAAATATAAAATACGATCAGTTCTCTTTGTATCCTTTATACGCTGCTTTATTATAACTTCATATTTATTAAATTGCATTTAAACGTCAGGTTTTCAATTACAACTTCTAATTTACAAGGTGAAATGAGTACCAGACCAGAAAAGTCGGAGGTCAGGAAACCAAAATGGGATTGGACCGGAAGTCATGGGGATCGACTAGGAAATCTGCTCGAGAAAGGTTTTCAAAGTGATTTTATTCTGGATTTTCGCCCACAAGAGCGAAAGGTTAGATAAAGTTGTCTAAATATTATTAAATAACTGTTATCATTAATTAGCTACGATTTACTGTTGGGCAGATTCCGGTCCACCGAATATTTCTTCAGGCCGGCTCTCCCGTGCTGAATGGAAGGTTCAAGGCGACGATGGAGGAATTAATTATTGAAAATGTGGATACTCGTGTGTTCAAAATGCTTCTCAAGGTAAAATTACTTACAATCAAAGTAGTGTAATTTGAGTTAAAAAGTGGAAAATGGCTAATTTTTATTCGTCTAATTGCAGTATTTGTACACTGGCAAGTCGGGCGTACGAATGGGCGACGCATTGCCGCTATTGCAGCTTGCGACCCAATATGAAGTCAACGGTTTAAGGGACGAGTGCGCAGCTGTCTTGAAGGGGGACTTGACCGTGGAAAATGTACTTTCTTTGTTTCAAAGCGGAATGGAATATGCTCACGGGGATTTTATTCAGTCCACGCTCAAATTCATTTGCAAGTAAGGTTTTAAAATCCGTGGTATCTAAACTATACACTTCATGTTTACACCGTTTTTTGTATCTGTGCACGAACAGGAACGCCAGAAAGATTTTGGAGTTCGACCTCTTTGCCAACCTGCGGCTGGAATGTTTGATCGAAATTATTCAGCAGGATTCACTCCAGGTCAGGAATGAGATGGAGGTCTTTGAGGCCGTGAATCGGTGAGCATTTCTAATATGTAAATTAAGTATGCGAGTATGCCATTCGGTTAATTGTAGCATATTTCTATATACACAGGTGGGGCCTAGCCGAGTGCACGCGCCAATCTCTGGATCCATCAAATACTGAAAATCTTCGGAGATGTCTCGCTAAACCGTTGAATTATGTCCGTTTTCCATTAATGAATCCTAAAGAGTTTGCGCTGAAAGTCACGCCAAAGAAACTTCTCAACATGGAGGAGTCAATGGAACTGCTGACATCTTTTCTTGTCCCGCTGAATGAAAGGTGAGTAAGAAGTTTTAAATGACGAATCAGACAAATCTATGAGTTGAATCATTGAAATTTACAACTAAATTTACACTGGTTGCTAGAAATATGCTCCCAGCTGGAAGATTTGTTTCAAATCCGCGCAAATACGGACATGAGGACATCGTTCTCACACGGGGATTTTCCGGGGGGACAAGAGTGATTCAAAGCCTAAGTACTGGAGGTGCGAATGGAGGTGAAACAATTATGTGAGTATAGACGCAGAAAAATGTTGTCGCACTAATTTTTGAAATAAATCAGCATCAGCGGGGGTTGATAGTATTATGTAATTAAGAGAGATATTTCGTCACCAAAGGAAAACAAGTCAAAAACTCATGCAGCAACGATCCATTGATTTTTTTTAATTACGGCGTAGCATTTGAGTGGTGCATGATTTTTTTACTCAATTTCCGTTGGCGACAAAAACGTAATCATCACCCAACAATATAGTACATACTTTATGTACCTCCGATGGTGACGATTTGTCTTCAAGTTACTTAGAAGATGGTTAGCCGAACGGATAGCTAGCAAGGGTGGTGGTAATATTTATCTTGAGCGTTAATATTATATTTTTCAGAATTCGCGTAAACGAAGATGTCGAAATGAACTCAATTTCAGTCCCAAAAGAAGTTTTTGATTTATATTCTGCTTCTGGATACGTTCATTACTATGATTTGATTAAGTGCACTGTCGCATTCGCTAATGAAGTCAGGAGAATGGACACCATTGTCTGCAAATTCGATACTTACGAGAGTGGCAATGCCTACTTGCGCCTTTCCGTTAATCCGCCTTGCAGGCTTAACGTCTTGGACGGTTGGATCGAGGTGACGATTGGCTTTACCGGTCAACTTGGATTTCATCAAGCTGGATGCACCGTCGCCAACAGGCAAAACCAGAAATTGTCACAACAACTATTTTCTGCCAACGGATACAACAGGGTGATTACAAATTATGCAGGATTGCCCAATGATCCAAATATGGAGGGAAGTAGTGCTGAAGGCGTTATTGATATTAAACGAGTGGATGGCGACGGGCTTTCAGTTAATTATGGGTTGATTGAGAAGCTGGAGTTTAAAGTAATTTAAGGTGTGAAGTGTTTTTCCACTTTTTTTGGTAATGTTTGCTTCTTCATAGTTTCCAATAATACTTTAAGTTTGAGTACATATGTACGTCGATACATTTAAATAATTTAATTTCCATGTTCAATTTTTTATGAATTTTCTGGTTGACTAATAAATGAATACAGTGAGTAATATCTACATGTTTATGTTGGTTAGTCCTTATTTGGTTAAGGCACAAAATTTAAAGATTTGTGAGAAGGATTTATTTTCACTTGTCAAATGTCTTTGCCAAGTTCATTTGTAAAAGTGTGTAGGTAGCAAGTTAGCCCACAAGTATTTAATTTAGGAAGGGTGGACCCATTTTATTTTTACTGGCCAGCAAGTCCTTGATATTTGTATGACACATTAAAATTTATATGGAATTGTGTGTAATTGATTGAAATTAGACATACAGCCTCAATTACACGTGATACAAATTGTCGGGTATTAAATGTGCATATGTATGTACCCATTGGCACAAGCGGTAAATGTGTGTCAAACTTCGTAATTGTTTCACCTCATGTGACGTTCATATTTATGTAATCCATGTTCGGAGGAGCATTATTTTATGCATGTGTACATATGTATATATACATATTTATGCATCGGAAGTGATCAAAACTCTATCTTCTACCCGTTATTTCAATTATGAAAAACCTCTCAATTTATAGTTATCATCTATAATTATTCATTTTAATTACGAGAAATTACGCAGCTCAGCTCTATACTTCTAGAAATTTATATCTGAATGTATATATCCCAGGCTGCACAATCACGAGATTATCACCAATTTTTAACGAATCTGGCGACCCCAGTTTTCGTGTTAGCGACGTGGGAGACTGGTATAGATTTGGTGCTCAACTGGGTGCAAGTGTCGCGATTTTTAACGTATCTTATTCGTTCTAAACACGTGTTGAAGGAACGAGTTTCGCGACCAAATCACGAGAATAACCCCAAAAAAACACGTATTAAAAAGTGAAATTATACGTTCAGAACACGAGATTTATTTGCAAATTAGATGCGGGAATTATGATTTATTACTGACCATTAACATTACATAAACTTTTAAATCCAAATAACAATAAAAAATTGTGAAAAAAATCAATTGTCTGATTCTGGTCCAGTATTTCTTAATGGAAGAGCTGCATTGGACTTCTCCAACTTTTTCCTAATTAAATAAAGTAAAAATTATGAAAGTTTTATAAATAGGTACAAATAATATTGCATTTTGTCCTACCTATCCGATTCAATACGCTTGTTGGAATTTTTGAGCCAATTTTTAATTGCTTCCCAAATCTCGTCGTCGTCAGCGTTGCCCAAGTTTTCCAGTCCTTGAATTGCCTCTGAAAACACAGCAATTTCATTGGTGAATTTAATTTAAAGGAGCGCATTATATATTTAATTAATTCACATACAACTAATTTACCATATATAATGTGCTTCATCCATGATTTTGAAAAAGGTGACTTCGGTCCTCTTGAACCAATCCAGTTGTATGACGATGCATACTTATCTGTCAGCAACTTGGCTAGTATCCGCTGTGTAGCAATCTTTACATCCTTGGTCGCACGTATGCCTTTCTGCAGTTCTGTAATCTGTCAAAGTTGCAACAATTAATATATGCATAGTTAAAAATAGCAACATGAATAATACTTATATAAATACTTATATTATTACTTATATTATAATACTTATATTACGCCACATGGTAATTCGCAATATTATTTGATAAATATTTTACCAATGTGATTCTTGATGCCTTGGCGAAATCCTCGAGTTTCTTCAAGTCAGACTCATCATCCACTGGTAATAAACCCACTGGAAACTTTTCGTTTTGACCACCCGTCTTGGTCCCCCAATTGTAATTGCTCACTAAAACGTCTACGCTTTCCTGTAGTTGTCGCAGTTGGGCTTTCATCACATTCATTTGACGTACCATCCACTTTTGGAATTCTGTAAAATACAAGTTATTTATTACTGAGACATTACATAAATTGTCACACACCTACCTAAATTTCCTGCGTTTGGTAACGTGCCATTATCTCTGCCGAAAGTTGTATCAATGTCCTCTGCCTGAGGAATCGAACGGCTTTCCAATTCGTGAGAGCTAGATAAAACTTGCTCGCTAGAGAGTGTGCCTTGGTATTGCTGTGAATTAGTTGGCGATGGGGGGTCACTCGGTCCTGGTAAACTTGATTCGTGGCCGTCTTCCTTTTCTGATTGAAAGCCCTCTCCCACTAAACCTGGATAAACAGTATTATTTATTATACTACTTTTTTGGTGCAATGGAATATAAAAAATGCGCGATTTTAACTTACTAAAATATTGTGGTGGTGGCGGTATTGTCTTCGTGGGAATAGAACGATTTTGCTTCATTTTGGGCGGTTCTTCTTCACTATCGGAGTCGCCGGGCGATGGTAGATGAACAGTTTTCTTGTGTCGTTGCCCTCGACCAGTTACTTCCAAGTCGCTCTCAAATTCCGGATCAGTTTCTCCCAATGCTTTTCCAACATTATTTTTTGCTTGATTATAAGAACCTTAACAAACAAATAAACATCATTTTTCTTTCTTATAAATAACTTTATCAATGTATGCAATAAAAAAGACTCACCAAATATTTTGCCTCCGCCTAAAACTTTTACGTCAAACGATAACCAAACTTGCTGATTTGGCGTGTCCCCACTCATGACGGCCTTCGATTGGCGTTCTGAAGAGTTGTACGGCGGCCACCAACATTTATTTTTACTTGCTGACAGCCAATTGATTGGGATAATTTCTACCTCGTCAGTTTCAACAAAATGAACTATAGAGTACGGCATTGTAAAAAGTGAATTTCACTTAATTTCACTGAATTTCACTGTGAATCAAGGGATAGCATATAAATTCAGTCTCAAATGGAAGTACTACACATTTTGATTCGATTAAATTAATATTAAATCTTCGTACTGCACTCAAGTCGGAGATAAGTTGAACACCAATTAAAGAAGAAGGACAAGGAGATTGAAAAAAATCTTCACGTTTTTTAAACTTCTGTCCAAATAATTCTGAAGGTGATCCTCTAACAAAATGGTGAATTTTAATTATAGTTCCATCTTTTAGTTTGCAAAAATTGTTCCCTAATTTGTTGGATAATTCGAAATTTGCAGACTTACACACTTTGAAACACTCGGGTGAATTAATGTCGACTTGGAAAAACGATACTTGACAAACTGGCTGCTTGAAAGAGGACAGGTCTATTTTTTCTCTTTCAACTAACCGCCGGTAAACTTGTTGCAAGGGGAGAGATGGAGATCTCACCAATCTCTTTATTTGTTGTAACTTATTTTCAAACGGGAAAGCACTAAATTGGTCAAGGGGACCGTGTCGAATGCAATCCCGGGATAAATGTAGTAAATTATGAAGATTATGACTGTTATACTTTTTCCCATATAATTCACCAAAGTTATTAACGAAATATATTAGTAGCTCTTGTGCATAATTATTTTTACTCAGATAAGTGTTAGGATTTGCAAGAATCGTGATGGCTACGTGGAAACACAAAAAATGCTGGTAAAATTGAGGAGCCAGGATTTTCTTCAAAACTGTGGGGCCAGTATATAAAATAAACTGTCTGTATTCAGTTGCTTTCCAGTGTTCGAGATCTCTAATTGGACGTGGTTTTCTTGAAAATTCTTTTGGTATTGAGGTTTTGATTTTTAGCAAATTAGTGGATAATTGGTCAACTTGGTAAGGACGCAGACGACCTGGACATTTTTTTCCTTTCACCCATAAAAATAGTAATTTTCTGGTCACTCCCAGGCACACAAGATGCATAAAATCGACTGGCACATCTTCTACTAAATCAATGGGTAGTAATTCTATTATTGAGGCTTGATTATGATGTGCTGTATCTAATTTTGATCGGAAATTTTCGTTATTTCTTAAATTATAATTTCCTGGTGGAAAGGTAACTCTATTATCCAAATATTCACCCTTTATGTCACACTTTCCACAAGAACTATAACCATTATGACACTTTGTCCTCAAAATAAATGATCTTGCTGGGACGTCACACACAATTGCAGATATTTTAAGTTTTAAATTCGAAGATTGCTCTATGGTGTTGAATTCGTTGACAAACTGTCTCAAAAAATTATTAATATTTGTAGGTTTTCCAAAACCAGAATAAATTCCAATTACAACGACCTGATTATATTCTACAATTTTCGCTAAAATGGGCCAGAATTGTCTTGTGCTGCTTTTATAGAGGGGGATTCCGTCAATATTAATTTGAATTTTAATATAGTCTGCTGTTGGAACTTGAATTAACTTTTCGACGGATGAAATCCACTCAAAATGTACGTATTCGCCAGGCTCCACCTTTTCAATTGTAGTCGATCTTGGAGTGCATAAAAGTGTTCTAGGAACTTTCGGTAAATCAAAATTACGATGTCGATTCAAAATTTCCAGCAGATCTCCTAAAGCAGAGAATGTAATGTTATGCTTTAGTGCCCACCCCCTTAAATCACTTGCACTACTTTCCGTATTAGACTGTTCAGAATCACTATCACTTAGATTTGACTGCGTGGATAAATTATTGTCAGAATAATCCGAGATGTCATCTGCTTCAAAAATCAAATATTCGGGTGATGGTGAACTCTGTGTGTGTGCCTCTGGCAAGGATGACGAGGGCAGCGGTATTATTTTTTCTGCACTTTCTGAAATTAATGCAAAATCCGAATTTCCTTGCCTTACTTTTCGGAATATTTTTCTTGATCGTGCTTTCTCCATTACTCATCTCGAACTAAAGAATTGTCCCTCTTTCTTTACAACGGAGAGAGCAGCATTTAGGTTTCTGTGACCAACAACACTAGAAATTCTCGTGAATTTCTGGTGTTCGAAAACACGAGTTTCGGGTTGTTGTAATTGTCGGGTTGTACATGTGTTATGAACGAGAAAATTGGTGATAAAGAATCCGTTTGAAAGTCGTTTTTGTAATACGTGTTACGAACGTGTTTAAAAAAATATTTACACGAATAATGCCCCAAACACGAAATTGACACCGGGGACACCAATAATACATGTGATTTTCTCGGTTGGTGCAGCCTGGGATATAAATAGTTCCGGGCGATTAACTCTGGAACATTGATAATCATGCAAAATCCAAATGCACTTATCTCAAGCCCAAAAATATGTACGCAATCCATATCGATATTTCGTAGCTAAACATAGCTACAATTCAATTAGTAAATTACATGAGTCGCATTCCTTCTACGGATAGTCATATGTAATTAGGTATAATGATACCCGTCTTACAAATATATCTAGTTACGTATTGATAAGGTGCAATTACCTTAACTTTACGTAAGGAATTGCACCACTGACGTCTTTAAATACTTAAATTCGATTATCCATAGATAATCAAATGATCGATAAGTTGCATATATGCAACTTGGATTTGCATAGAATCAATCAATTTAGTTGCATATAACTGTAGCACCGGCAGCTCCGACTATCGAATACGGTTTCTCACATTTTGCTAATATTTCAAAAAACTTGTCGAAATTTTACAGCACATCTTTCACACATCATGACTTCAGCGATATTTAATCCTCGTACCCTCAAAATAATTCAAATTTCCGTAAAACTTTGCTCCTCTCTTGGCAGCAGTCCGTACGACTGGGATTTTAAACGAAATTCCATCACCGTTCATTCCACTCATCGGAGAAAAATTGCATTCACAGTTGGAACAGTGACTTCTTTTTTGTACTCGTGTTTCCTGTTTTGGCGTCTCGTGCAAAATTTTAGTGATCCGAATCCATCCGTCCCCGTCATTTTGTGGTTGCTGCTCTGGATGTTTATCACCGGTTGGGGCCTAATTGGGTATGTCAACGCGTATATGAAGAAGGAGGAGGTAGCTGCATTGTTTAAGGGGGTCAAACTGCTCGCCGGAAATTTGGAAAGGGGTGAGCACTATGGTTGCAAATTACAAAATTTGTGTGTGCAATTATTATTTTTTTGTTTTTAACAAACCATATATATATATATTTTTAAAAAATTTCCATATTAAAAGATTAATTCATCAAGTTAAAAATTGGAATAAATTATTCATTCATTATTCACGTAGATATTCAAAATCTACAATAAATATTAATCATTATTCATTTTTATTCACTTTAGGTATCTCAAATTCGTCTTATTTCATTTGATGCATATGTATGTTGTACATAAAATTAAAAATTATGCATTAATTCTTCATGAGTACGAAATGAATAACTATTTACTCAATATTCAAAAATTTTGCAAAAATTATTGGCACGTTTTTTCATGAATTTATGGAATAATGAATAAATATCTAAGTTTATTCATTCCTTATTGAATAAATATGTAAATGATTTTTAACAGTTACACGCCAAATAAAAATAAGTAAAATTTACTCAAGTTAGAGTAAACAAGAATGACCCAACCAAAAGGTAAAATTTACCCAACCGTTGTCTAAAATTTGTCCAACCCGTAGGTAAATTTTGCTCAACGTTGGATAAATTTGGGTCATCCTCAACCTTGAGTAAATTTTACTTATTTTTAATTATACTGTAGATACAGCAAATTGCGAAATTTGTGTTTGCAAATATTTTTGATTGCTAAATCCTGCAGAGTATAAAGCCTTCAAGATTGCAAAATTGGTCTGGAAATTCAACAAGATCGATGTTTTCTACTTGGTTCTTATCTACATCGCGATATTATACACGGTCGCCGTAACTCTGATGTTCATTGTGGCTCCGACGAAGCCACAGTATTTGTACTCCTTAATCCCCGGATTTGGGAAAAATTGGGAAAATAATTACTTTCTGTTTACTCTCTTCATTGGAATCGAGGTGTACGTGAAGGCCTCAACAGCCTGGATTATCATGGCAACTGATACATACACGATACTACCAACGCTCATTCCGACAGCGGTTTGGGTGGAATATTTTTATGGGTAATTCAAAACTATTTGAACATTTGGTGAAATACTTATGAAGAATTTGTGGTGCGACTTTTTGAATTTTGAATCGAAAAAAATACATATAAAAAACTAGATATGTATTTACGATGTTTTTTAGTGTTTTGGTCAAAATTAAGGAACCATATTTTTTTGTTAATGCATTAATTCAAGATGAAATACGTCAATTTCGCCAATAAAAAGAGGAAAGTAAAAATATAATTAGCACATACAGGTTAAATATCTATTAAGGGTATTCATTACGAGTTCGCAAGTTCGCAAAAAAATGGCTTGAAAATTCAAATTGCGAACTTGCTAGTGCCTCAACTTTGGTTTGCAATGTAATTTTTTTTCAAAATCATACCTCGATACGATTTAATTTATATTTATCTCCATTTTTTGTTAATTAAAAATTTATATCTCATGAAGTAACCACCTAATTTAAGTAAAGCCTTTAAACCGTCTTGAAAAATTATTTCGCAAATTTCCGACAACAATCTTAACATCAATAAGTAATACATAATTAATTAAATCATTGATTAAACATTTAATCTCAGGAAGACCAGAAGCATCCCGACATCTCTGCTGATCTCGAACTACCAAAATTTTCACATCCTAATTTCCTACTATAACAACGCCATTATTCCCCTTGTGGCCCCCATTCTCCCAATCTTTTGTCCTTTCGTCATCTGCACGTTATGTGCCTTTGGCGCCATTCGTTGCCACGGGTTTCTCCCCATCTTCGAATACGTCCCATTCCTCGTCCTGGCCAACAACGGGGTGGTCGTCCTCACCCTGGTTCTCTTCCCGTTGACCGCCGATTTCGAAAATTCGAATAAACTTTGCGAGAAAATTCGGCAACAGAGGAAATCCGATAAAAAAGTGGATCGTAAAAGAATAGCGGGGTTACAACCGTTCGGCGTACGGCTTGGGGTTGTCCAGAAAGTGAAAAAGATGGCAATTCTCCTCAGCTACAATTTCATAGCGAATTGCATTTTCACCCTGCTAATCACCTTTCCCCAAGAGAAAGTCACTCGGTGAAGGATATCCGGTTCGTGATTGGAAAATTATATATTGCATGCCATGTTTTAGTTATAATTACTGAATGATGTAAAATTTTCTTGTTGTGCTCTATGGGCCGGAGACCTAAAAGAGTAGTGAAATAAATCATACCATACCATACCATGAAAAAAATAGCAGTTAAAAGTCAGAAATATCACATTTTTTCCTTGCTTATTCCAAATTTTCCACCTATTTTTTATTTATTTTATATGTACATACATAAATATGTAATACATAGATATGTATTTGTATTTATAGCTTACAAGTTTTAACGACCAAAAAACTATGGTAATATGGATATTATTTAGAACACATAATTAATTTTACTTATTTATCTTCTAAATACACAATAAATATTATATCATATACTGTATTATATTTAATTATAATATTTAAAGGTGGTTATTTCACATACCCTCATACCTGATTAAAACAGTGCTAATCAAAGTGTCTATCATCCATTAAGAAAATCCATATAAGATGCATATAAATACATGTGTACATATTTAGATCATCCATTACAACAGGACTTACACATATGTATGTATATAGTTGCAGAAAAATAGAGTGAAACTGAAAGTAACTTCTTACATACGAGCTACTGACATGCATTTACTTGAAATAGACATGGAATTTCCATGATGGAAAGCCATGCAAAATATGTATAGCGAAATAGATAATTCTGGTATCTCGATTTCGTCAGGTTCTACACAGAGTTGTGTAAAGGTAGTGGTTTTCGTAAATGGCGACAAAGCGCAGGTTCGTTTCCAACAATAAATGGAAGTGGGAATAAAATCTCCTGCCATTCTGTCCGGAAAGTGTATCATTTTCTTCAAAATTTTCGTATTATGAGATTACTTTTTTAAGAATTTGTCAAACTACAAAATTGCAAATTCTTGTATAATTTTGCTCGTGTACACACAAGCTAAAATACTAGTTTACTACATACATATATAGTAAACTGACCATCTTGATTACATAAATTATGTAACATCATCCTGAAATCAACAATTTAATTGGACCAACAAGAAATCCAGGTATTGTCTAAAAAAAATGAGACTTTTCGGTCGTGAAAAAACTAAATATTTAACATGTAAATTCTAGTGGCTATTTTCTACCCAAAAGTCAGACTGCATGCGTTTCCCACGTTGCGAAACAAAACATTTCTACGGTTGACGGTACATAGGTAATTTTAAAACAGGAGATAATACCGATTTCTCCATATTTTATGCTTTCAATCACACTTGCTAGTTTGTGGATCGGCGCACCACTGGTTCGCAAAATATGCGCACCGAACCACACCGCGAACCACACCCGGTGTGGATCGCGGTGTGGTGCGCTAAGTTTCCGACTTGGCCGGTGTGGTTCGCAGTGTGGTGCGCTGACCCAAACTAGCAAGTCTGCTTTCAATGAAGCATAACGTAACCATAAAATAAAGGCTATGAGTCAATATTATACTGAACATGACGTAAAGTTAAGAAATCCTCGGTTTATATAAATTGCATACTTTCAAAAATTGTATGTACCTACAAGAATATTGAAATCTTGATGAGCAAATGGCTAACTATCCTTAATTCTATTCTGATCTTCCCCCACCGTTTTTTGATTGTCGAAAATCGTCTAGAATCTCAAGATTCGAAGAATCTTGATCCTAAAAAAATCAGCTTAGAAGTTTGCTCCAGTGAATCCTGTTTCAATTGAAAATTTAAAGATAATTTAGTACCCTTGAACTTTTTGTTTTGCGATTATTAATCAATTTACCCACGACTCGGTGAAGTGTGTCCACCAGAAATTCTGAGTAACAGGCATATGTAAATAAGGAAGGGATTTCATAATGATGTCCGCGGCTGTAATTCATTAAATTGAAAGGTAACATTAGTATGCATACTTGTACGGGAATTAAAATTGTGGAATAATTTACGCACATCGGTCCGTCTGATGACATTCTCGTTGATAAGTAGGGAATTTCCACTGGAAGAAGATAAGCAAATCTCTAGGATTAGGATAAATTTTGATAAATTATTATTTTTTAATTATTAAATCGGCAGAAAAGGAAGCTTCGTAATACCTCCACTAACGAAATATGTATCCCTTCAGTTTTCCGGATAGCTGTGAGAATCTAGTTTTATTGCAAACTTTCAAAAAAATATGGTCAGTTTCAGCATGTGATAAATAATTTGAGACGTGGATGTTCTTTTCGCGTATGGCGAAGTGAACAGGAATTGGCCTCGATTTGTCTGTTTAATTCTAGATGACCTACATGCATAGATAAACTAAAAGCAGGAAGTTGACATAAAAAATAATTATTGAAACAATAAGGTTATGTACAGTACATGCATATGTATGTATTATGTGCTGGTCCGTAAAAATCCGGTGGAATGATATGTCATTCCACCGGATTTTTAAGAGTGTATGTACATATAGAACTATTTAATTAAGCAAATTACACTAATAGATTTGATAGTCCATGTACCCAACAGCGTTAATTTATCCTTTCCTAATCTTTATTCCATTTTTAGCATATCCTCATGGATCATCCGTAAAACTAATTGTTAATTATATTGTTTGGACATTTCAAAATTTCAAGTTTGTACACAAATATATATGAATAAATAAATATACGTTGGTTTCACATATATTAATATGCATATCTAATACCTAAGTCAATAAACTAAAAAAATGTATTGCTTTAAAACTATTTGTACCAAGTTTACGAAGTTTAAATTGTGAATATTTTTAAACTAAAACAAAACAATGCTTATACATAATGAAGTACTATAATTCTACATTGAATATTCAGCATACTAAATAAAGTCGCGTAAATTGTACTCCAGATTGAGTAAAATAAAGGATGATACAAAAATTCGGTACAATTGATCCAACCGTTGAGCAAAACATCAAATAAATTTGACCTACTTGTTGTGTCTTCCTCTATTTTACACAAGCTTAAGTAAATTTTACGAAACTTTATTTAGAGTGCGTCATTTTATAGAAAATTTCACACTTTTGACCAGATCATCGCAGGCAGAAGTAAAAAAATAACGCAGAAGGAAGAACACAGCGATGTCAATCAGTATTTCCGCCACCCAACAGAAATTGTACAGGTAACTTTTCATCACGGATAAAATTTATAATAAGCTGAGCCGTCGGTCCACGCAACTAGGAAACAAAGCAAAATTACTTGATTAGTTTTTCTACAATTATGTATAAATATATTAAAAATTTAATTACTCAAGTTTATACTTACTACTACTCCGGAAATCACTACGAGTTCCAGCTCCTTCATGGCGAACAGGACGCTCTCGAACTCTCTGATGAAATCCTTAATACCGTATTTCTCCATTTTTCCAGACTCGTACAAGTCATCGGCAATATCCTTTGCGGGAGATTCTCTGAGAAGCAAGAGTTGCTTGAGGCCTTTTCGGTATTCATTATTCCTTCGTATCGTAAATCAGTAGCGACGGTTACCAGATTTTGTTAGCGTCGTAAGATTTTTTCATAAAAAAATCACCTAACCGCAAGCGTGGGGTCAAAGGTAAAGGTACAATGTCCCCACGGTTAATCGATGTCCCCATCATCTGCCCATGTTAAACCCTTACCTCCCCCATTCAGCAATTCCTATGGTCCCACAGTCGCTTCGGCAGCCACTGGTTCTACCTAAGCTTGCGATTTTTATGAAGCCTCATTTTTTTCCAATCTTGTGCCCCTTGTAGTTAAATGCTCCATGACAAACTAACCTAAATCCAGATACTTGTTCCACATACCTTTAAACAACTCCTTATTGTCCGACAGTGCCTTCACAAAGTCCGACAGCTTCAGCTCCAGCGTCATATTGAACGTAATCTTCGTCAACCCTCCACTCTTCAGTAGTACTTCGAGCTGACTGCTAAACACGGCCGGATTCACCTCCTCCTGGAGCGTACCCCCCATGTGCAGAAAAAATAATTCCACCTCGGTCACGAAGGGGTAGACAATTTTCAAATTCGCCAACGGACCCAAACTCTCGGTCAAGTCTTGAACCACGATTTTCCTCACGGTCCTTGACAAGACAACTTTCGAACTGAACAACTTCAAAAATGTATCCAGCACGTCTTTCCCCGCCGCCGCGACGCTACACCCGAATATAATTTGGTCCAAATTTTGAAACTTTTTTCCCGCCCAAATCAATCCTCCTGTTCCATCGGGACATTTAAAAATATCGACACATCTGTTATGCAGCTGCTTCAGTTTGGGCATGCTTTCCGGCAGGGTAAATTCATCCCGATTCGTGTCCGGGCAATACTTTCCTTGGTCCGTGTTCAGCCCGATTTTCAAATAGACCAAGGAATTCGCCACTTGCGAAATTAATCGCGTTAACGACCCTCCATTGAACGCCTGGGTGGACCCGCGCGCTCCATTCTTGCCCCGACCATAGTGAAAAAGCCGGTAAAGATTTGTATTCTTGTCCAAATCCGGGTATAAATTTCCCACGATGAATAGCGTCCTCAAATTTGGCGCGGCGTTTAAAACCTGCTGCATAAAGGTGTGGGGCGGATCGTCCAAGATGAAGCGGATGTATTCAAGATTAGACTTTTTGGGGAGGGGGGAATCGAACGTGGAATCCATCATCCCGCCCCGCCGGCGGGGACACGTGACACTTAAGCGCTTCAATTTTGGGCAGTATTTAGACAGGATTTCGTAAAGTGTGGGAAGAACGACGAGTCTCGAGTGGATTTTGATTTCTTGAATGGTTTCCGAGTATTTTTGGCACACGGTGGAAATTAGTTTTTCTGCAGAGACGTCAGATGCTCCTCGAGAGTGGGGGATGCCTTCAGGGTCTTGTTGGACGTGGTAGGTGCATCCTGCCGAGATCCTGATAAATCTGGCCAACTTGGGGGTGGAGAGGGTGGGGTAGATCGTGTCGAGAAATTTGGACGGGTCGCAGCAAGCTTGCTTTAAGGAGTGGTTCAATTTGAGGCAAAGTTTTGGTCTTGGGAGGGAAAGGGTTACTTCGTTCCATAGTTTGGAGACGAGACGGAGGTCTTTTCCGGAGAGGGATTTGTATTGGAAGATTTCTTGCAAAATCTGTAAAAAATGATTTGAGGTATTTAGAAGTTTGTAGTCCACGTGTTCAGCATTATTCTAAAAACTTGCTATTATAATTTTTGTACCGAAAAGGTTTTGTAATTGGTGTCAGAAATGTTGAAAAGATGACTAAACTTTTCATAAATATTTATACCCATTAATTTCAGAATTATATCTTTTATATTTGCAGAAAACTAATTTCAAAGAAAGGAATCTACTCAAAAAGTTCAGAGATTAGTAAAAATCGGTACTAAAAATTTCGAAAATGTACAACATAAATATGACGCTATGTGGGAGGTTAACTTTTGATAAGTTTATAATCATTTCGTTTTGCAAAAATTAACAACTTACAACGGGATTTGATAAGGCTTGAGATTCCGGCGACAAATCATCCATGATTTCCAACCCGTCCTAGGAAACTATTAAATCATAGAATACAGTTATTAGTGCACATTTCATATGAATTGTAGGAATTTTTAACGTTTTTACGAAAAACTAAACTCCCAAGAGAAAAACTTTAAAATAAAACAATGCTCCGAAACTCCGAATTTTAAACACGTTTTTTTACAACTCACCGGGTTATCAAATTCTTATTAAATATAATTTTAATTCCATACATAAATATTTATATAATGCAAACGAATATACCCTTACCACTTTTTATTTTTTTAGTTTCCTACCCAGATGATTCTCTGAGAGAATTTCTCTCAATTAGGTGAAATTCAAACCCAGAGTGAAATTTTGGGCTTGGCGCGAATAGTTCTCACCTTGTTTTGCGATTAGAGAGTCTCTAATTGAGACTTTGGGTTGATTTTTACTATTTAAGTATACTAATTAATTAAATTACAAAATTCGCCAATTACTTGGTGATTTCTAATCATTAATTAGTAATAAGTTCAAATATGCTATTTAATCAGCTTATTAATTGGAAGCATGAATTAATTTAACCTCGCTGAAGAACATTTAGAACTGAAGAACAACTACTTAGGGGTGATCCATAAATTACGTCACGCTGAAGATGGGGGGGAGGGGTGCCAAGCATCCGTGACAAAGTGTGACATATGGGGAGGGGGGGTTCGGCCGATCCGTGACATCACGTTTTCTAGGCCTAACTTAATGCAAACTTTAACTCAAATTTTCATTCTTCGACTATGACCAAACTACAGTTTCGCAATTATTTAGAAATTTAGTCCAGCCGAATATCAAATGCATCCAAAATTTCAACCAAGGTTTAGATTTTATGATTTTCAACCAAGTTTCTAAATTTTGTTCAACCCTTCAAATAATTTGCACAATATTCGATTGTTTGTACATTAAAAAATTAAAATTCATGATGCCATAAAGTATAAAGTTTGCATAATTTCCAAAAATCATCATAATTTTGCAGATATTCATTAAACAGTTAAAAAACGTTACTAAATCTCCAAAAATTTGCACAATTTAAAAAATTCGTCCGAAAGAACCATATAGCCATAGTTTCAAAAATGTGTACTAATTGAAGACAGCTGCATGATTAAAAATGTTAACAATTAAAACCATGTATAGCAATAAGTGAAAAATTTGGTGCATTTTTTCAACAATTGCTACTCTAGATTTCACGACAAAGTCCCTCGTACATACCAACAATGCCGTGGAGGGTTGGCATTTACGCATAAATACTATGTGGAAAGCCATTGAAATTTTACAAAATGAGCAAAGCCATTGGAATTTGGAAATCGAAAAATTGAAATCTGGGCAAGTCGAGCCACAGCGTAAAATTTACAGTGACCTGGAGAAGCGACTCCACCGACAACACTGATCTTGACACCTTCGACTATCTCAAGGGTATTGGAAAATGCCTTCACAACTAAATGATTGTTTAAAATTTAATTTAAAATGTAATTTTGATTTTCGTATAATTATCCCTTTTTAATTTATCCCTTATGTACCATGTACCATTATGTACCTTACATATGTACCATATATCCCTAATTAATTATGCAATTCGACCTACAACCACTACGCGCCCCCTTTTATACGAATATACATGTTATTCTTCCTAGGTATCGGAAAAATTCAGATTTTCAAGCGTGACGTGACAAGAGGGGGGGGAGGGGTCACGACGACCGTGACAAAGGCGTGACAACAGGGGAGGGGGGGTCCTAAAAAAGGGCTTTTTTGCGTGACATAATTTATGGATCTCCCCTTAAGTTAGTTCATGTATTTCATGAAAACGTGGTCACCTTTTTTTCCTTGGTTTGTACATAGATAAGATAACAGTCTCGATATTATGTTATGTTATGAGTGGGGATATTGAGTCAATATCCGCACTAAAAAGAGTGGCACCCGTCTCAAACTTAATTCCTGCAGCTGGCTGCATTTTTTGTCCAATTATAATAATCAACTTGCACTTTTTTAACTACAAATTTTACCTAATCCAGTTAAAATATCACATTTACTTAATTCCCTGATTGAACTCGGAGCAATGGAGCCGTCCACCCCGTCGTCGGACGTCATTCCCGAAAAACAGTTGAAAATTTGGAAAATATTTCGCAACGTGGGGCCAGATGGAGAGGAAATTTTGAAAACGGCAAAATTGGCACATTCTGCCGCCTACAATCGTGGATTAGTCGTCACCATGACTGACGAAACGTATTCCTTCGTCCGTGAGGGCGACGATGTTTGCAAGATTTTAAAAATTCCGGAACTTTCCGGCGTTCAGGTGGAAGGTAAACATTTTTATTGAAAATCTTATTGGTAACACCAATTTGGTATTCCGAGATTACCATACTTTGTTTTTTAAAATAGTGAAAAAATGTATTTTGACAGCCATGAAAAGTTAATTTCTTCTCAAAACCTGTATTTTCGACTGTCTGGTTGTCTTCTTCACATAGATTTTCATCTTTTTGTGGGTGTAACATCCCTGGAAATCCAGAACGGAGCTTAAAAAATACTGTATTTTGACAGGGTTTTGACCATCCTTGTTTTTTTTATAGAATTTTTGTTTTTTCCTTATAGAATTCGTCACTGGAACCATCAACTTTGCCGTGACCGTGGACCGACAAGTCTTCTCCTGGTACTGGGGGGTTCCCCCTGCACCCGTGACGGGCAGCTTGACGGGGGTCCAAGCACGTCAAATCGCACTATCAGAATTCGAGGGGATCCTGGCGTTAAGTGTGGGTGGGGATGTCCATCAATGGGGTTTAACTCAATCCGAGAATTGGAGGCGAGCCTGGACCTGGACGAAAATTCCAAAGGAACACTTTGGCAACCAGGAGGTCATCTCTATCGCCTGCGTGGAGCTCACCGGCGTCGCTTTGACTTCAAAAGGAATGGTGAGAATTATGCTTTACTTTTTTTTGCGCAAAGTTTTAACTGTCTGCTAATCTTGGGAACAGTTGTATCAATGGATATCGGGCGAGGGCGGTACGATGCCAAAAAAAGTCAGGATCGCGGGATCCGTACCATTTAAAAAGGTAAAATTTAATTAAAAGCAAAAAGAATTAGTGATCTGTGGCACAAATAAATGAAAATTTTGAATAACATAATTTTTCATACCACATAATTTTGCGAAATTGGTTGCGGATTGTCTAATTTAGTAATTCGTGTCGTAGGTAACGGGAGGTTCTGACTTCATTGCTGCACTCACTCTAAAAGGAGAAATGCGCTATTTGAAGATCAAGCATCCAGGGTTGATATCCGGCGGCGATACGACGACTGAATGGAAGACGATCTTCAAGGATCACAAAATCCAAGATATGGCATCCTGTACTTGGCCAGGAAAGGTCTTTGTGGTCGAGTTGAATAAGGACGCACGCTTTGTGCTTTCTTCCCCTCTCCCAGAGGCATCGCACCACGCTCCTTCATTCACACTGCCAAGTAGTTTGTCAATGGATGAACTTTTTTCTCAAAATGGGGACACGTCGTACCAGACTATTTCCGCGCAAGTAAAAACACGAAACAAAGCGAGTGATGTGCTTTGCAACTTGTGGGAGAATAAGGTAGACATGAATGTAGATTACCGTAAATACTCTATTTATTGCCAGGTCTAAGTTTTCAAAATTTAATAGGCTTGTATCTAATTATGGTATTCGTTGAATCCCTGTTCCTTAATTTTTTAACTCGTGTATAATGGAAAAAAATTAGTCGGGTCTCTAATTATACCCGATTTGTAATTGTAGCTGGATCTGTTCTGTTTTTAGACCCGGCTATAAATAGAGTATCTATTTTTATACATATGTATGTTGATAAAGCAAGTGATGGATTTTCGGGAAGTTTTGACCCCTACCTACCCCCGCCAGTGAGACGTAAATGCCCCATGTTAGCATTAACATGGGAAGGATAAGATACCCTCCCCCTCCCCCCCCAAAAAAAATCGATCACATGCTGACTGCAAAATCTCATAAGAAATTAAGTTACATTTGCCTTATTTCCATTACAGAAACTTGCCGACGTTGCCTTTTCCGTGGAAGGGAAAGTCATCACGGCGCACAGATGCATTCTTGCCGAAAGAAGTGAATATTTCGAAATTATGTTCAGCCGCGAGTGGATGGAGGCGACGGGAGGGGCATCATCGTGAGTATTATTGGTACTTATTTTTTTCGAAAAATTTTAATTCTTTGCGTCCAATCCAAATTTTGCATGCAGGGCGATTGAGGTCAAGGACACGAAGTACGACGTATTCGAAGCATTGCTCTTTTACATTTACACTGATCTGATTAAATTCAAGGAGGACGAGGATGAAAATATTTTTGGTATGGTTGACAGTCACTATTTTTTGTAGTATTTTACAATTTTAAAGACAACCCTGTTATCTTCTGAATTATTTCTTTTTTAGAACTTATGAAATTGGCCGACTTTTATTGCCAAGTCAAACTTCATAACGAATGTGAGAAAATTCTGATCAACAACATCAGCGAGGAAAATGCTTTCTTTTTTGCGAGAATCGCTTCCTCCGTGAACGCTTCGGTACGAAATATTAATTAAATATGTAGTTAACTAATTGTTGATGTCATATTTATATATTTAGTTGGAATTTTATTTATATCATTTCATTGTAGACTTTGGAGGAGAAAGCGATGAAATTTATTGCCGATTATCAAGTCCTTGGGGACAATTCGTCGCCTGAGAAGAAGCCTTGGCGTGGCTTTATGGATGCATTCGAAAAAATGTCGGCAGCCTTGCTTAATCAATAGTTTCCAATTTATGAGGAATTATTAAAATGGTAAATTCTACCATTTTATTTAATAACCATTATAATTTGAATAACTTACTTGATCTTACATAAACATATTAATTCACTATTTGTGTATGTACATTTATGTTTAATAAAATTATTTCTTTATGAATTTGCAAATCAAGGGTCAAGGAAGTCGCGATTTTTGCTTTACATAATTTATGAATGGCTCTGGTCGTGAGTACGCCGTGTATATATTAAATAGCTTCAGCTACTTCATGCGAAGACTTTTGTCCGTCTGTCTGTCAGTGGGATAACGCATTAACGCGAGAACGGATCGAGATAACCGAAATAGGTTTGCGGCATCATACATTCATATGACCGCATGGAGAGGATCCTATAAACTTTTATGGTCAATCGGACCACTCGTCTTTGCATTAGGAGGTGTGGTCTGGGGAAAATTAATTTTCACAAAAATTTAATCTATAGATGAAATAAAGTGAAATTATTAATCCGTGGACGATTTTAGGCTATGTCTCTCCTTTAGAAAATTGTGTTCCACACTTGGCACAGTACTTTTACTTACCACGCGTGTGATGCACTTTTGGAGCATTGTCTAATTTTTTGATAAAAAAGATTTTTGCCTTCTCGAGACCCCAGTCACTCACTGCTCTAGTCTATGTAATACGAAATGACGATATACGGTCGAAACTAACATATGTCCGTTCCATGATATGATGCTCATTCATAGAGGAAATCAGACGCGACGTTATGCAATCATTTAAGTGAATTGCGGAAAATCCCCTCCCCCTAATAGCCTCCCAGTAATGACCTCCGACCAATAGCCTCCTGAGGAAAGCGATTGGCCTGGGAGGAGATTGCAATCTCCTCCCAGGGCAATCGCCTCCCACCCAATATCCTCCCATGATAAATACACGCATTGTTTTTAATACTTAACTTATCCAAATCTTAATTGTGTAATCAGCGATAGAGCGTTACTCATCAACATGCAAATAATTGTTCGTCAATCATTTCAGACGTAGACGTTTGTTTAAATTATATATTTGCGGTTACCATATCCAATATTCATCATTTTACCTTACGCATGCAAACGAGTTTTAAAATCTCCAGTTTAATTGTTCTCATCACTAATATGTAAAAGTATATATGTATTTCTAGTCACCATCATCGCTTTTACTTGTACGCATGCAAACGAGAGTAAAAGTAAGAGTTGTCCGTATATTGTAGGTGTTAGGACGTTTTCACCTGCAGAAAATGAATGCATGAATCAAATCTAACCAAATTTTTGTGCAATACTAACGATGATCATACCGAGGTTTTTTAATCGTTAAGTAGTCCAAATACACCTTCGCTACTGGTGGAGAGAATACTTTGTCGCGCACTTCTCATGAGCGCTTTGCCACTCGTTTCACCAATGTCATGGACGACTTTCTCTATAACCTGTCGAAATTTTTCGAAATTTTTTGATGCCCTTTTTTCATGAGAGTATTATTTCTTAATTTATGCCCAAAATCCGTAAGCCCATTAAGTAGACTTTGGCGTTATTAGTGTCGTCTTTATGTATGGCATTTTTGTGGATGTACCACAAGTTTAATTTATCGTTTTCACAACTTTTAATTTGTGTGTTTAGAATAGTCGTAAATTTCAATGCACACACATATATGTAAACTTAATTGTATATTTATTGTTTGACATAATTGATACACAAGTCAGTAAAACACATGAACAAAACACACACTCTTAGAAAATTGGTATTGAAAAAACCTAACGGTATTGATACGTGACTCTACCGCCTTGGTATTAAACGGTTATACCATATTGGTATAGAACCGGTATTGAAATTATACCTCATGGTAATAATTTTAATACTAATTGGTATTAAATTTTTTACCACGTAGTATTAACTCAATACCGGATCAATACCGGTAGAGTCAGTACGCGGTAAAGTCACGTATCAATACCAACGGTTATTGATTTTTTTAAGAGTGCAGTTTGCGTTTGATTGGACTTGATTATTTTTGTGACCACATTATTTGTACCCATGTTCCCACAAAAATCGGCTCTGCGAACTGTACACATCTTAACCAAATCAATTCTTTGTCTTCGAAATTCCACTTTTCATTAGTGCTACTTTAAAGTGAAGAAAAACAAATTGGAGCATTTTCCAAAATCAATTACATAAAAAAACAGTAACTCGGTTAAATTTCCTATTTCGTTTTTGTGTATCAATTGATACACAGAGCTGGGAAATTAATGAGTTTCCAGATTAAAAATTAAGATCTGAGATTAAAAATCCCCGAATCAGAGATTAAGATTAAGATTAAAATTATTCTTCCGCTACTAAATTAAATTAGTTAAGATTAAATTAATCTGTTTTGATGACGAAGATTAAAGATTAATTAATCCAGATTAATTATATTAATTAAGAATAATTTTATTTTTTCGTAGTTTTTTAGAGTTTACATCGATATCTTATTATCTATATTATAAGCGAGAATGTCTGTTGGCAACGGAAGTGAAAGTAAATTTGTCTGTGACGGAAGTTTGTCCGTGACGGAAGTGAAAGCAGGAAAAGTCTTGGGCGTGCCATTTTTATTATCAGGGGGTGGTGATTATCTGGGGGTGGTGATTATCTAGGGGTGGTGGTTATCTGGGGGTGGTGATTATCTAGGGGTGGTGGTTAGCTGGGGGTGGTGGTTATCTGGGGGTGGTGGTTATCTGGGGGTGGTGGTAATCTAGGGGTGGTGATTAACTAGAAGTGGTGGTTATCTGGGGGAGGAGATTATCTGGGTAAGATATGCCCCCAATATCCCGATATCCCTACCGATATCCCAATATCCTGATATCCCTACCGATATTACATATAATATTTTATATATATATATAATATTTTAGTCGGTAGAATTGTAAAAACTAAATTCACTCTCGCCCGGTGGGAGACGGGCTTCTACGCTAGTTATATCATAAGTTCTAAAATTTGAGAAAAGCATGAAGTATCAGCACTTCATATAATTGTTATTCTAAATTATTAAAGTTTTATCTAGTAAATTAAGGGGAATACAATAACTTGTAATACGAGTAAAAATCAGTCTCACCTCAAATGCAACGCGTTTTTATATTTCAAAAAATAATTTTTTAAAATTAACTTAATTTTTTTAATGGCAACAAACTTTTTAATCTGTTTAAAGAACACAATTTTAAATAACGTTCCTTTCAAAAGAGAACCTGTCAATTTAGAATTGTTTTGATTTTTAAAAATGGTTCCAGTGCTGAGAGATGATCGTGCGTTGAAATTTAAAGATTTACAAGGACTCAAGTAACAGATGGCATAATTTTAATCATAATATTAATCCTGATTAAAATTAAAGTCGAATATTGAAAGATTAAAAATTAAAAATTAAATTAAATTGACGTGAGATTAAGATTAAAATTATTGATTAATACGAACAAATTTCTTGATTAAGATTATGGATTAAGATTAATTATTCTTAATCTTAATCTTGATTATTTTAATCTAGATTTTCCCAGCTCTGTTGATACACAAAAACGAAATAGGAAATTAAAAATTATTACGGACTAACTTAAGTTAGTCCGTAATTTGTACACGTGCCAACGCTATCCTATCTGGCTATTTTATCCGAGGACAGCTTAGAAAGTTGGAAAGTTACGAGTATATATCATGATCTAATTGTCCTATTGTTTTACGCCCCACGCAGTTTAATAGGGGTTTCTTCGCTACAGTGCAGAGCTCGGCGGATATCGAGTGAAAACCTCTAAATAGCCGGATATATACATCCATATCCAGGACAAAATCTGGCCTCCAAAATCTCTACTTCCAAGCTCCAAGTATCCATATCGGTGACAAATTCTCGCCCTACAACCTCCAAACCTCCAATATCTGTGGAGGTTCTACATGTTGAATTCTCGCCCTTCAACCTCAAACATCTAGGCCAAGTTCTCGCCTTTCAATATCCAATATCCTTGATACCCGCCGAGCTCTGCTACAGTGAAGCTCATTTTTGAGCTGACGGAACGATCATTTTGACCGGTGGTCGATCTTGCCAGAGGAATTTGCGAGGAACTCCTGGATCTCGTGACCTCCAGGTGAGTCTCCTCTCCTGTCACTCTGGCACCAATGATACCCAAATGTTTTGCATTTCCCTCCGGCAAAATTTCCACTGTCCATAAATATGTATGTCCCCATGCTTCTGCGGCACTGTTCGTGGAAGTGGTTAACGTGTCCTAAACGAAAGGAGCTGAAACACTTGGATTTTTTTTAAATTTTGAAACCCAACAGTTTATCATATATATCAAATAGTTAAGGTGTCATTGACAAAATGAGGTGTAATAAAATTTCAGTTCGACAATAAAATTTTAAGACAATCTTAACACCATTTTTGATCAGTACATCTTGAGCATGTTTTCTTCCCTCATGAGGACTGCTTTAAACCTAGTGTACATATGGTTCGCATTTTGGTGCACGCGTTGTAGGCAGGTACTCACCTTGGACTTGTTGACACATACGTGGTATCCTTAGTCAGCATAGACTCTCCTCAATTCATTAATAGGGTATTTTAATCGCACTTAATATTTCGTGACACTACCTACTGTTCAGAAGTTACCTACGTAAGCACGTACATGAATTTGTCTCTAGGTTTCACTACCCTTGCGACCAAATAGTATGCTTGGATTCGCATATTTATTAAAAACTTCAACTATCGTGACTTCATTTATATAAAACCTAGTTGGGATACCTTTACTCGGATTAAAATTTTAATATTTAATAATAATTACTTGTTAATAAAATCAGTTCTTAACGCATCGTCACCATGAAAATTTATCTCAAGAACTACCTCATTTAAAGAGGTGGAAATGTTCTGGAATTTATTAATCCGCAGCCTGTGACGCTTTTACGTGGCTATTAACATATCGGTAAACATGACAGCCATTCTATGCAAAATCACTATAACTATACAGCTTTGCATCACCAATATCCCCTTGGCTCAAAGTTTTTTCGAAATTTCAAATTTCGAGGAAAATGTGCATTCACTTTCCTCCTGCTACTTAAGCATTGCTCACTTCGGAAATTTTCACGTACCTCGGAATATTAACACACCGTACCAGTTAAGCAAATATACAGCAATGGAAGATGCGTAAGTTGAGACACAAATAATTCCTTAACTTTGGCATAGTTTCAGCTCAAATAATTAATCTAGGCCGAACCCTATCCAAGCCAACCTACTCATTCAACCCATCCACCCAATATTCCGATCTCATTATCACAATCCCTGTCTGATATACATCATAATCATCCCGCCCGGGTTTTCTCAGAATTACGAAATCGTCCAAAGCTATATTATAAAGTCAGAGGATAAATTCCACACTAACTGGGACATGAAACCTCGTCATAAATACTTTTCCTACTTTGATTTCAGCTTGGTCGTAATATTTGGTGATACGGGTAGATCTTACAAACAATCCTCAATTTTCGTTAGTATGCTCTTTAGGCAGCCATTATGTCTGTTTTTTGCAATGGTCAAAAACACAGACAACAGTTATCTTGTTGAACGTAATTTCACCGCTTTTTGCAAGGGACTCAGGTTAGCAGAAAGCTTAGAGTTGGATGCCCTGATCACAAGGTGCATGAGATTCGTTCAACATGCCGATCTGGTGATCTGGTTTCCTTGGAAACATCTAAGCAAAAGGGAAATATTTTTGTCAATCATTGATTATTTTAAAATATCCTTACTTGACGAGGCACTAGATCTCGTGCTGAGTTACTTAGCTCATAATGGTAATGCATCCATAGAAAAACACAGACTAGGCATACAGGCAAATATGCAGGACAGGAGATTCCCGCTTCCCGAATATTCAGATGATTTGTCCGACAACTTTCCAATTCTCGTGGGAAATAGGTCTTTCTCGTTGGTCACGTGCTCGTCCCTAACGCAAGTTCGGATCAACTATTGGGGTTATCTTAAACCCTTCAGCGTCCGTTTGGTATTCCTTAATGACTTTTTGTATTTTCTTACCAATCATTATGCTTGTTCAAAATTACAAAAAATTTGCACCCCTAACTTGGTACGAGTTAGGATACGCGATCCTTAATGCGGCTCTGGAGATGGGGCTGATCGTGGTGGAGAAATCCAGCTCCACGTTGATTGTAATGTTTAGGAGTCCCACATCCTTGAAACTAATTGCTCTCTGGACGTTAGCGAGTTTCGTAGTAGTTGATATTTACAAAAGTATCGTCACCGAAGATACTACCGCGCCTTTTGTATCCAGCCCACCAAAAATGTTTGATCAATTAGTAAATGGCGGGTTTCACATATACAGCGGGTCTACTCGTAAGCTACTCACAACAAGTTCAATTCCACAAACCAGGACAAATTGGCGGGCCGTTGGGAGCGAGTTTGATTTAGAAATCTTTTTTCATTATATAAAATGGACTAAATCACTCTCTGCAGAGCTAATGGTTGCGGTAAGTAACCTAGTAGCACGCGATCTTTGGCAAGTCCACTTGATTCCGACTTAATACAAATTTGTCCAGCGTACAATTGGACCTCTTATATCGAGAACAATCAAAATCTTATTCAGCAAATTCAAGTAGAATTCTTGAAACAGGAATTTGGTAGGATTACACAAATATTCAAGGTAATCAACGCCTCTCGAATTTCGGGAATTGTCGCCCGCTGTAACAAAACTGCCTTTGTAGCACCGTCCATTTATATCAAGTCGAGACAATTTTTACTCAATATTCTGGGAGGGAAGAAGTCACACTTGAGTAGGAAACCATATTTGGAAACTAGTGACACCATTTTCCCCAGCAGGGCGTACATATTGGTTACAAAATTGGGCCCGATAGGTGACCGATTTAAGGGAAGAATTGCGAAAATTATTGAGGGAGGGTTTTATCAATTTTGGGAGGACCTGTACATTAATTTACATACGGATAAAGGTATCGGTATTCACTTGGAGGACACAGTTGTCCAACAGGAACTCAATTCTAATATTCTTACCATTTTTTATATATTGAGCACCTCTGTGTGTGTTTGTTGTGTCATATTTATTTTAGAGATTGGGATTGGGAGGAGAAAACGGATTTTAGAAAGGTTAATAATTTTTTTAGTCCGCTGTATTACTCGTCTTAAGAATTTTAAACGGAAAATATTGCAGATCAGAGTTGTCATGATGCAAGTGAAACTTTTTCAAATTCTATAAATTGATAAATTTGAAAAAATACCATACTCTACCCTGGTATACATATGTCTGATATGATTTCTAGCATTCCTTATTGTTGTAAATATTAATTGTTCTTAAATACAATTGAAATGTATGTTATATTTTAATGTGTGTTTGTAACAGTGGTGGGATTTTTGCCCTTCGTCCTCATTTTTGAGTGAGGGGAAGTAAAGAGTTGGAGTAGTTAGTGTTTTTGCTCCAAACTTAGGGGAGAGGAGGGGAGGAGTAAAAATTTGAGGAATCGGGGTTAGGAGATGGGAGGAGGAGGACTAAAAATTGGAGGATTTGGTAAGGAGAGGGGAGGATCAGGACTAGAAATTTGAGAGCTGAGAGGAGGGAAGAGCTAGGAACACGAGTACATTTAAAATTCAGAGGGAAGGGGAAGGTAATACTTTTTATGCTTACTATGTAAAACTTATTTTTGAATAATGTGGAAGAAGTAAATGGCTAATTCATGTTTTTAATACCAAAGTCGTTATCACGATGTTATTGGGCATTTTTGGGTTTATTTTGGGTGCATAAAATAATTTATCTGGGCAACATTCAGTATTATTAATATTAAATACTTCACTGGGTACTTTTCAGGGTAAACCCACATTTACATATCACATAATAATTTACATACTAAACAAAATTCAATAAAATTTGCGATGACATAACGGGTTGTGCAAAATTCACCCGACGAAGGTAAAATTTGTACAATTTTGAGCGAAAATTCGACAACATTGGATACATTTTAATCTTCATTTGGTAAGTTTTACACAACCAGTTGTGTCATCCCAAATTTTACTCAACCACCTTGAATAAATTTTAATCAAATTTATTTTACATGGCTTTATTGGGTGAAAAAAGCGTGGCTATTAATGGGCCCTGAGATTATCTTATATCATCCAGTTAAATTGTTTTAATTTGTCCTGTCTTAATTTGCCTCGAGTTTAGGAAAAAGTAGCCTTTATGATAGGAGTCTTTTTAGTCCGTAGCCTCTTATAATGAAACATATTTATGTTCTAAAATGTACATCGTAAAGATGTAAATACTGAATTACATATTTGAAGCTCTGAAATAAATAAGTTTGACTGTACATACTTGAATGTATACTACATAAATAAGCAGTACTATATTTGGCTTTGGTTTTGTCTTAAATTCCAAGACTATAGTGAGTAGATACATATTTATGACATATGTGCAATGTATGTAAATATACTTCGGTTTATGGACCGTGTATGCACGTTTTTCAGTCCCCATTCGAATTTAATGCATTCTAAATGTGCCTAAAAAAAGTTTTAAAAATTTCTCTACCCAAGCAAACTGTAAAACTCGTTGGGTTCCTTACATTATTGCGGATGGGGTAAAGTTAGTCCAGCGTATTTAAATGTTAGGGAAATGGACATAAATATGTATGAATAAATACCTATTCGTTCTTACGGTTCTCCTAACAAAGCATTCCATCGTAACATAACACCAATTTATATGCATTGTCTATGTTTATAACAAACATAGGTATGCATGTATGTACAACAGAATTAGCCCACATTTTCATCTGTCTAACAAAGATGCATAATACAGATGCATCATGCATTTTGTGTTCCACGAATTCCTCTATGATTCGGCCTTGATGCATGCGTCATGCCCAAATTTTATTACGTAAACCGAGCATGGTATTCACACACAACACATGGTTTTACTTTACTGTGTTAGTCATCCAGCTGAGGATGAGTTTGCCAATGCAGAAGTATATTTGTACGATTTCCACGTCGGTGGAAATAATTACATAAACGTTGTCACAAAAGTACTTCTTACATAAATACACAAATTGAGTTTTAAACAATGTGAATGGGAATGTTTAATTTTTTGGACATTCATTTTTTCATAGTAAAGAGTACGTAAAATTTTTAAATCCTAAAAATATTTTTTTTTCTAGAATTTACAGTGAAAATACAATACAATCTTTAACTCAGCCGAAATTTGTAACGTGATCAAATAATTAATTAAACATTTAATTACATTTTGCATAGTGTCAATACATACACAATTATAAAATTTGCCTTTAACAAACGTCAAAGTTGTACCGGAATACATACAGAGTTGAGGTAAGATTTTACTACTTCACTACTTCGATCCGCTATTAAGTATTAATAGTAAGTTTGCCTGGACAGGTAAATTTGGTACAAATTGTACATAATTTGAGGAATTAGTCACTTAATCGTATTAATGTACGTGCAACATATTTATTTATGCATATTTTCATAAGTGCATATGTATGTAAATACATATACATACATATGTGTGGCGGCGTCCTCCTTACATGTGTATTTGTAAATATAATGCTTTTTAACTTTACAACCAAATAATGCACTGGTAACTTGTAAAATCTCGAGTTTTATGCATAGATAAAATAATTTTATAAGCATTTACAAAATAAAAAGACGCCTATGATCGGAGTGCATATGAATTTACATATGCAAGTTTACTAACATTTATACGCTAGGTTTCTTCGAAATATTGGTAAAAGTGAAGAATTTACGGATTTTACACTATTTACAATTTTACCAAGGACTGCATGAATGAATTACCTAATTTCTTTCAATTTGACCAGGTGAACTATTTAACAAATGGCCAAAAACCTTCACCGGACCGGAGATCGCCTCCTCTACGATGGAATGCCATCCCCTATCGATTTCGATCAACTCACGCCACAACTCCACTTTTTTGCGGGGTCTACCAACTCGGACGGTACTTTCGCCACACACCTCCGAAGCTCCAAATACAACAATGACGTCGCCAAGATACGAGAAGATTTCGAGAATTTCGCCGAACTGAAATGTGGTCGCGTAATTTTTCTGACTCACGGACTTGAATCGGCGGGCTCCGCGAGGTGGGTGGAGGCCCTAAAAGTCGCGCTTCTCCAAGTCGACAACGCCCAACTTGTCGCCGTGCTGGACTGGGCCGTGGCCGCCAGAGCGGGTCGAATCCACGCCATGCACGGCGGGTATCGCCAAGCGGCCGCAAATTGCTTAGAAATTGGGCGCTGGTTGGGCAACGTGGCGAAGATCGTGTATGAAAATATGGTCCGTCTTGGCGTCAAAGAGCCCTACCTTTGGGGAATTGGGCACAGTTTGGGGGCACATTTAATGGGGAGAGCGGGCCATGAGGCGGGCATGAGACTAAAGGTAAGTGTATTTTGCGACAAATTTTGCAAAGTTAATTATTTTGCAAACTGGTTGATTTTGTTATGTAAAATAAAAATTGGTAAAATTACAAATTCTGACCATGCTCGGAAATTTAAAATGTGACAGGGTAGTTTTCAACCTGTTTTATGCTACCTAAATGGGAGTGTAATGTAAAATTGCGAAAGCTTCACAAAGCAAATCTTTGCAAATTTAACAACTTTGCGTAGCTTGTGCAGATAGGTTTACATATTTTGTAATTTCTTCTCGACGCAATTTGCTTTTTGCAAGTACAACTTGAACATGCTGATGTATGTACTTATTTATTTCCAGACTTCATCTCGTGGATGGGGTTCCTACATCTTGTCAATATTTCGTTCCCAACCGGTTTCACTTCCTACCCGGGTATTCGATCGGATAACAGGTCAGCAACATATTTTCAAATGCACAATTAAATACATAAATTGTAGAATTCGCTCCGAAATTTGTAATCCAGTAAACTCAAATGGTTCTTTCTTTCGTAAAAGTTTGTACGAAATAATTTTACACAACTTGCAAAGTTGCAAACATCCGACTGAATTTAAAACAAATTACGATTATAACCAGTTTTCTCCCTTTCAGGACTTGACCCCGCCGGTCCTGGATTTCAAACTAGTCTGCCCGGATATCGCCAAATTTGTCGCGACGACGCCGAAACCGTCGACATCATCCACACCGACGGTAACTCATCCATCGAACTTTTATGGCCATTGGTTTCCGGGGCGAAAAACTACTACGGCACCCTCCTCCCCCTCGGGTCGATCGACTTTTACCCCAATTACGGACACAGCTGTAGAAGAACGGCCCGCGGAAACCATTCCCTCGCGTACGACCTCTTCACGTGGTCCATCACGAATCCAGGCTTCTTCGTTACGGACCAGGTTTTAGAAAGGGCGCCGGAAGTGAGTCAAATCGAGGGGCGTCCCGGTGTCATTGTTCGTCCGTGTGATAAAACCGTCCAGTCTGAAACGCAGGTGGAAATGGGGTACCACCTCAAGCCGGGGAATAGTGGGCTTTACTATGTCAAAACTTATCACCAGGCGCCATTCGTTGCGAAATTGTGATTTAAAATGTATGTAAATACTGATAAAAGCCAAATAATCCATGCCATTGAATATACTCAGTTATATAATTATGAATTCAATATTCCGTTCCGTATAATTGTACTTAATTATACTTTAAATTGTACCTCGTTTAAGCATTGTCGTCTTACTAACTATATAACTGTATTATTTGTACAAGATGCGTCACACTTGGTATGTTAAACAAACGTGCTCCTAATTTACACAGTGCGTAAGCGTAAAAATCCCGGCCCTGGGGAAATTTAGACAGGCCCGGCCCTTTGTCTATTTTTTGTAATTTTTAATCAGCGCTTAATTGGGTCCCCAGATTACTGTTACCAGCATACCCGCCTATTTTGTGCTTAGCTAGAACTACCCGTACCCGCGTGGGTATGGACAGTTCAATCTTTATTTAATTTCGCCCTAGATAAGCTCACTGCCATCAAAAATAGCAGCTAACCCCCACGGCTATCAGCAAAGCATCAATTTATTACTTTAATATTGCGAAAGTATTTCTTAGTTGAAAGTCATAACTTAAAACGTACTTTGATTGAAAATTTTAGCTAATCAAACCATGGGCGTACTCACGACAACTTCTTATTTCCCATCGCAACTCATTTAGCAAACTTGCGAAGATCAAAATATTTCTGTCGTGAGGGGATTCGCAAAATATGACTTCGCAAATCTCGTCAATCTTGCAAATCTACTGAAAAACACATATTTTTGTATTGTATCCATGGATTTCTTTAATTTCTCTTACTGGCGACGGTGAGGATGAGTATGCGAAATAATTTTGCGAAATAAGCCCAATTGCTGGGTAAATTTTCGAAAAAATCCCATGGTTTTCCAGCAAAATTTTTGCGAAATCTCGCGTTTCTGGCAAAACTTCGCAAGTTATGTTGCTATGCTCAATTTGCGAGATATGCGAGATATGCGAAGGTTCACGTGAGTACGCTCCATATAAACAATGAGGAAGTGTGATATGAATTGGCCCGACTGAGTAATTTTAAATTCTTCTGTAGATAAATAAGCAGACCCACATTTTTGCGTTTTGTTAACTGAGCTACCGTTGGCGGAATTTGTAATTAAATTGAACTTAAATTAAGAAACTTTTCAGTAAACATAAGAGTTTGCTAAAACTCTTTTCGAATTTTAAACTGATTTAAGAAATTAAACTATACGTTTGTTCGGAATTAAATTAAGCATACAAATAATTTTTAAAAATTCTACTTTTCAAAAACTTTGAACTACAAAATTTTTGGGTTTTGGCATTTTTAAAATTCATAAATAGCACGAAATTGTAAATCAGAGTTTTAAGGAAGAGAATAATATTGAACAAATAAGTTTATAAATTTTTGAAATCGGGCAAGATACGAAAATTTAGAACGATTTGAAAAGTCCTGAATATCAGTCAAAATTAATTTAAGAATTCAGCAACAGGCGAAAACATGTGAATTCAAGAAAATCCCAAGAATCTTATGAAATCCATAATTTTCTAAAACGTGGGCCCGGCCCCTTCGGGGCCCGGCCCTGGTGCGCGTCACCACCTACCACCTGCACGCGGAGGCCCTGAATTTACATATATGTTTATTGTGCTTAAGTAAGCTGAGGCAAAAAATGAGATACCAGCTTTCCAGTAAAATTATATATTGCGTTACCACAGTATAAATACCTACGTGGGTGTTTTATTATTAATTTTCAAAAGGTATGTTCCGCACTGTTTCTGACCAAACTTTTGATGAAATAACAAACTTCAAATACTTTTAGGATGCTGTGATTTTTTTCAGTTCTGTAGGTTAACATTAACACTAGCAATAACTCATTAAAATTTACCTCGAAAATATGCCAAAATTTACGACTTGATTTCATTATCATCCGAAAACCGTTTTCCCCTGATGTTTTTCTTTAAGTTTGTGAGATGCCGAAAGCAATTTTGGTACCCAACGGACGGAAACCATTTTCATACCTAAGTCTTCAGTTAACATGGAACAAATTGCTGGTTTTGGAACACCCATCTCATCTGCTATATAGGACAGTTTCAATCGCGGATCTCTCATTATTGGTTCCTCTAGTTTCCGGAGCCTTTCTGTGGAAGAAGCGGATTTTGAGCGTCCTTGCGACTTTTTGCCCGAGACCTCGTTTCGCCATAATTAAAAATTATTGACCCAATTGAATTTGTGTTTCGTGTTGGGCAGTTTTCATTGTACATTTTAAGCATTCAACCATAAATCTGCGACACGTATTGCCTATCCTGCATTAAAAATTAAATCACACTACGATATTTAATTTGCAAATCTAGCATTTTTTCCGTCGTTTTTCATGTTTTGTTTTACCAACCTGAATTAATTCTTCAAAAATAATAAACACGGAATAGTTTAATCTTGTCGTAAATTTCAATCAGGAACTACATAGCGAAAAATCAACAACCAGTACTAAATGCAAAATGGAAATACCCATCCGAACCTAATCCGAATTTCTAGTTTAAAAACATATCAAAACTATATGATTCATTTATACTGATGATAATATTACAATGTATTTGTGATAATAATAATAATTCAAAGTATAAATAACAATGAAAGTCATGCACTGAACAATTTATTGTCAAATTTCCCTACAAATTACGTCACTAACAAACTAAAAATACTTTGACTGATCGTCTAATAATTCCGAATACACCATAAATGCGAAACGATTACATATTATTATCATAGAACACTACATGTCATTTGTCAAATAAATCCCAAATTTAATTAGTATTTAATTGCTGTAAACTAGTCATCATCATCGTCACGAATCACACCTCCAATTAGCTGAATAGGAACTCCAGCGCCGTCAAAGATTGGTTGTACTGTGTCCAGAATTTCCGGAACCTGCATAAAAAATGATAAATGTTTATGCACATTTTTTACTGCATGCTTAATAATTCTGGTTTATCGACGCACCCTGGGCTCAAAATTGTAACCAGTTATTTTCACGCTTTCAAATCCTCCACTGTATAGAACAAGGTCTTGAATGCAGGGGGTAAAGTCCGCCTGGGTGACGTAGGTTTCTTTGAAATGGACACGTCTAACACCTGCAAAAAATTATAATGTATAAAATTAGGAAACTTAAATTTTATATGATAAGTATACGAAGTAACAAGTATGTATAAAAGCATGCACTCTCTAAAAAAAATTTAAACCCTGGAAACAAACTGTCACCCTCAGAGGTACTTAAATAGTGCACTATTTTTCAGTAATGCTTAAGGAGATGTTTTGTCACCAAAAATACATTCAAAATTTGAAAAATAACCATGTCCGTTTGGAACACGAGTTTTCGACTAATTTTCCATTGGTGACAAAACGTCTCACCAAAAAATAGAAGTACCTCCACGGGTGACGATTTGTCTCCGAATTATTTAAAAGTGTATAAATACCTTTCCACATCGACATGTTCCGAAGGACAGCAACTATCGACGATGAAGCAACAACCGACTTGGCGAGTACATCAACTTCTTTGAGATCCCATATTTTGAAAGGTTCCAGCAGTCTGTTGATCTCCTGTGTGATCTCGGCTCTTGGCAGGATAATGGTTAACTCTAATTTCTTCATGGATGGAAATAGGTGAGCAATCCGTTCCGAAAATGTGTCCCTCATCCACCAAATCCTATCCAGCGTTAAGACTAGCGATGTAACTCCATCATGCCGCTTCCACAGGCTCAAATAAGTCGACAACTTCCACGCCTCTACGTCGATTTGGAGCGTGAGGTGTTTTAGACTTGGGAGACGGTCTTGATTATAGAAGTCTTCAAAGAGGTACACTGGTGATTGGCAGATTAAGAGAGAGACAAGTTTCGACATCACAGGTACTTCAAGATCCTGGGCCAGCTGTTTGTACAAAAATTAGTGTTATAGTAATTAATTACAGAAGTAATCAATCATGGGCTGTCCATAAATTATATAATGCAAAAATCCAGATATTCTAGACCCCCCCTCTTTAACATGGAGCCTTAGACCCCTCTTACGTTGCATAATTTATGAACGTCCCCTAACACACGGAACATACATTAATTAATTGTATTCGATTATCTTTACCTCAGGAAGTTTAACAAGCTCGACCTCTCCATAATACCTCATACATAAATTCCTCAAGGAATCCTTCACCTGCCCCAACATCTTCATTCCTGCCGCCACATCAAAAAACGTGGGAGGAGTTGACTTAACTACGCAAAATTTTAATATCTTTAGATTCGTACACCCCTCCAAATTCGGATAGAACGTGGGGGTCACGTCCAGAAAAGTCAAATTGGGCGCAGCATCCATCAAGGCTTGGAGTAGTGGCTGAAATGCATGGAATCCGAATTTCGGTACGTCTCCATAAACGACGAACCAGATTGACGTTAGGTTGTTTTGAGGGGGAATTTTTCTGCGCACTTTATACTCGCCTTTCCCCGCACTGGACCCCGTCCACTCGATCCCGATGGAAATGTGGCGAATATTTGAGGATGACTTAAGCCTTCGGACCCCGTCGAGAAAAGCGTTGGCATATTTTCTCTCGTTGACGAGGAGGTCGATCTCTCGGGTGAGCTGGGAAAGATGGGGGACACAGGTAAAAATTCTTGTGGAGACCTCGCTCGTCTTTCTGGGGGGAACGGATGGGTCGAATGCTTCGGAGTTGTAGTTGAAGGAGAGACGGCGGAGTAACTTTTCGTGCACGGGAGGTATCACGGAAAACTTGGAGCCTTCGTAGCTGACCATCTTAAGGGCGCGGAGGAAGGTCCGTTTGCTCAGCGCAGTGGCGCCCACGTCGCTCCAGACTCGGCACACGAGACGGGAGTTTTTTAAATCAGCGAGATCAAGATTGGCGAAAATGCCGTCGAGAATCTGCGGGAGGGAGGGAGGGAGGGATATTCAGAATTAGATGGTCAGTAATTAATTAAATTAAATGCAATGATAAGTGTGGAATGACTGACTTACTAAAGGATTTCTTAACGCCATTGACATGCCGCTGTTAATGTCTCCTGAGTCGCCGACACCTTCCACGACTAAAATTTCAGATAAATAATAAGAATTGTGAAATCAACACGTAAAACAGACAACAATTTCTGTTTTTCAGCGCGCTTTATCATTTCAATACACGAAAAAGTTGCATAATTTCATGTGTGATTAACATTTACCTAAACTTGGAAAACTCATTCTTGTCCTCCTCGTGTAAAGATCCCAATTCCAAATTCTTTGTTAAACTGTGAACCGTTTGGGGCGATTTTTATCCTGTAAAATATAAAGCATAAAAAGTATTAAATGTATGCACAATTATTAGTTTGTTGGTCACTTTAAATAAACCATAATTCGATTCGCAATTAAAAAAATACCCACTTTGTCACGCAAAAGCTTCGATAATACCTTGTCAACGATTTTGTAATCAATTTTTATGCTGCAGAGTTAATAACTTAACTCGAAAACTAATTCGAAAAATAGCTCGAAAACATCTGCTCAACGAACGAATCGAACAAACGACAAAAAATGCGGATTTGATCGAGCTGCTCGAACCGGGGCGTATTGCGATACCCCAGTTTCTTTCTTAGGAACGAGCAAATACAAATTTTGCAGCTGTTGTGCTTGCTTGCTTTTACTATTTTCACAGAATTTACAATTTTTATCCCTTCATAATTGATAATACTCTACAAATTCGAATTTCACGGTTTGCAATTAATATTTTGTTTACTAATTAAGCTTCTGCACTATTTTAATTGCAAATTGTTTCTTCCCCCACAACAGGAAATGGCAATGGCACTACCACCCGTTCGCGGAAATATGGGGGACCTCCCGGACCTCGTCTACTGCAACAACTGTCTGGACCCTTCCCCCCTCCACCGTTGTTCGAATGGTCACTACATTTGCGACATCTGCATCAAGAAGGTCAAGCAGTGTTACGTTTGTGACGTGGATTTGCCAGGATCCAACTTTACGAAGAACGGACTTGCCCGACCGGTTGGTTTACTTAAATAAATACAAGATTCCGACCTAAATATTTCCTAATTAATGTAAACATTTAATTATTCCATAGCTCTCGTTGAAATATGCGTGTCCACACAAGAAAGCCGGCTGTGTTGAAATAATTTCCGCTACAGATTTGGAAATACACATTAAAAGTTGTTACCATCGGTAATTAATTATTTACCATTTTTTGTCAGTTTATTTAATTTTGTGTAAATAATTCACTAAATTAATGCAGGAACATTATTTGCAACTCGACGGACAATTTACCTTGCCGCAATTCAAGAGTGGCCATGTCGGATTACGCAAAGCATTTAAATCAACGCCACAAATACTACTTGCGATCATCAACGCGACGTTGCCTGTCAATTTTGGAAGATGGCAAGTTATTAGGTACGTATTTAAGTTTTGCACGAATTTAGACAATAACGGATGCAAATTATAATGCGGAAATTTTGTAAAATAATGGTACAAACGTTTACCAAATAATCCGACCCCCAAAAATTTTTGAGCTAATTTCCTCTATAAATATCTGTAAAAGTTACAGAATTTACAGATTTTACAATTTTACCAAGCGTGAATAATGTGTTGAATCGCGTTAATGATTCTGTTCTAATTTTCCTCAGCTGAGGGCTCCTGGCCGGTAGAAATCTTGGAGGAGGATGAGGAAATATTTGTGCTGCATAATGAAATTCGTGGCGATGATACAGTCTACTTTTGGATGACGGTGTTGGGCAGCATGGAAGTCGCGGCGAAGTACATGTTCGAATTGAAATTGATCAAAAAGATGGACGACGGGAAGGACAAGGTGATTTAAAAAATTGTACGGAAGGAAAGACAAACTTTAATTGTTAAATACTTTTTCACAGATCGAGTTCTGGAAGATGCCGGTCGTGGCGTTCCACTCTCAGTCCGTGAGTAGGAGAGGGTTTTCATGTTATGTGGTCATCCCGCCGTCAATCTTGCTGAAATTTTGCACCCCGTTGGAACCAGTGGAAAAATTCAAGTTTTGCTTTGATGTGTCATTTCGAATTTGTAACCAATTTGTTCCGTGGCATGTCTAGTGTTGTCTAGAAAATTTTGGAAGACGGATATGTATTAATTAGGTTTCAAAAGTGAAAAATGATTATGTAAAGTCTGTGATGCTGAAATACGCTTTTGTTGTAACCATTTCGAGTGTACCGCATGTGCATTTCATTTTAGCTAAAGTTTGTGTACTTTTACTCTTTACAAATACTTGATTTAATTTTATGGACGTCGAAATAAACTGCTTTCTCAAATTACATTTTACTAGGTATGTTTTTATTGAAACGGAAATTGTGTATGTTTTAACTTGAAATTTTTTATTTATTCATCATTCATATCTATAGGCATTTTGATAAAACTCTCTGCTCATCAAAAATCTTTTTATGTCCACATCATTACATATTTGCTAATTACTCTCCCTTGTTGTGGTTTTATGTAACATAAAACCAGCACTCGAAACATAAATTATATGATTCGAGTGCAATGGACCGTCCATAAATTATGCCACGCGAGAGGGGGATCAAGATTGAATGGAGGGTCGCTCACAGCCTGTTATATAAAATCGCAAAAATCGCGATTTTCTAGACTTCCCCCCGTTAACATGTGTCACGTAGGCACATGCTATAATTGGAGGCTTAGACCTCCCTCCCCCTACCACCTCTCGCGCTACATAATTTATGAACGTCCCTTTAAGATGAGATCTGAAATTTAGCTTCCAAAATGGTGAACAAATCCCAGTATAACTACGCACCCTTCTCTATTTAGTTCGCAATATGTAGCGGCAATGAATGACGGATTTGTGGGGAAACTTCTACAAATCGGCGAACACAAGGAACAGGCAAAAATAAATCCTTAGGGGACGTTCATAAACTTCATAACGCAAAGAGGGGTGGGTGGGTACTAGAAATTCCGTTACGCAGCGTGACAGGGGGAGGGTGGGTGAGCTGATACATGTTACTGTAACGCGAATTTGTTTTTGTCCGCACAATATAATTTTTAGGTTAGTTTAATTTTTAGGCTTGCATGATTATAAAAGTACTAGCGTATAGCCCGGCCAAGGCCGGGTTCTAGAGTTCCAGTGGGGGGTGTGCCCAAAGCGAAAAATCCGTCATACTATACTTTAAATAATTCCCAGTGGAGACTTTGTCATACTATATACATACATCAGAGTGAGGGTTTGCCCAAGTCATACTGCATTTTAATTAACCTGGTCACAGTACAATTTAATTTCCATTTGTGGGGGTAGTTGAATAGCTAATTACTTAAGTTCCCGTCGCGTGGGAGTAACTGCATAGCTAACTATTTAAATTCCCACGCTTCACGCTCCCGTTAAGTTCCATAAACCCCGTTAACTTCTACAATTAACGCCAAGCTATTGAAGGATTCGGATTCAGCGTCAAAAATACATTCGAATTAATATGCCACTCGCTGTGGGTGGAGTTTCTCACACTAAAATAATTAATTAATAGTGTTTATCACGATCACTTATCATGATAACCACTATTGATGAGTGATGTATGTATGTGGGGTAGCAGCATGTACATGTTCATGCATGCATTCATTCATGCAGTTGTTGCTCCGCTTTCTTCTTTGTCTCCCCTATGGGGCAACTTGCATCGTTCAAAAAAATCTCTCGAATTAAGATTGTATACAATAAGCTTTCAAATTTTAGAAATTAATTGCTTCACGTCGTGAAGTTCACGACCAGCGACTGCCTTGTTTACGACTCAATTGAAGCAAATGGATTAATTAAATACTAATTACCCTTACATTGCCACAAGGTAGTTAAATTCCAGCACCAATTAAATTACCAATTAATTTTGCTTTCTCGATTTTTGCTTGTAATAAATTAAGTAATAAATTTCTAAAGTAATTAATCTTAAGTAAATAATGACAGAAGGAAAGTAGCACTTGCATAAATAACTTTATTATTAATGTTTGTATGGATTTAACTGTGTTTTTAAAATTTACACACAATTATCCGATCCGATCGGATATCCGTCGGATTACTCGGATTCGGATCGGATTGACCAAGATATCCGATCGGATTATCCGACACGATGGAATATCCGATCCGATGGCCTGCTTATTCGATCCCCGATCCGTCGGATGACCAACCCTACTCGTAAGACTTAGCTTGTAAACTTGAAATTTTATACACATCGAATAACATGAACATATTATTAAGAACGAAAATTTCAAAAAGGGTTTGTTTCGCCATAAAGTATGTACATGCGTGTATAAAGAGTTCATCAAAATCGTCAAGTTATAATTCTTCCAATGTTAAAAGTCTTATTCATTTTTCATATTAGATAATAAAAGTGGAAATACTTTTGAAATTAAAACACTAAAAAGACGAGGAAAGGATAATATATCAGAAACGCTGCTTTTAAGTCAAAAGTATTTTTGTATGAATTGGACTTGCATACAAAGCAAATAGCTAACTAGGATTTACTTTACATGTCAATGATACTATTTAACTCGAACATGAATACATATATGTATGTATGCTTAAAATTTCATTCTAAATCCAAAAAGTAATTATGTATGTAGGCATTTAGTATTGGTCTGAATTATCTATAGTTAAAGAAATTTTTCAATGCATTCAAATATCATACTTAAAATAAACTGGAATTTTCCGTCATTAAGAATTTGAATTTATACACGCTTGAATTAAGTCACATTTTGAACACCTTAATCCAAACCAACACTGAGAATTTGTCTCACTCAAAGGTTGCAATTACAAACTTGCGTTACGTGACAAAGGGGGGGGGGGGGTGGGCTTCCAGTTTTTGTGACACCAGCGTTACATAGGGGTGGGTGTCCAAAAAAGCCAAAATTTGCGTTATGAAGTTTATGAACGTCCCCTTATAGCAAATCTCGTAATTTTGTGGCTTGATAAAATAAGGACTAACAAAGATAAGTATGTAGATATTGTATTGATTTATTAGTCGATCAGAAATTCTGATTCAGAATATTCTTCATAAGTTGAACATGAAAATTAAATTACTTAAATGTATCAACGCATGTACTCGTACTCAACTAAAATAGTAAAATTTGAAGTATTATTGGAAAATAAGAAAAAGCAAACATTGCCAAAAGTGGCAAAAAAACGTCAAATCCTAAACCACTTCAAATTCCAGTTTCTCAATAAACCCATGATTAACTGGGAGTCGGTCGCCCTCAACTCGTTTAATAAGGACACTTTCTTCCATAGTGGGAACAGTGAAAGTTCCTCTTTGGCATCCAACCGTGCACGACGTGTCTCTCTCTCGCTCTGCAACTGGATCCTCTTCCATCTGGGTCGCGGGTGTGCCAGGGCTAGTAAAGTGTGTCCCAAGGCCATTTCGCCATGTGAGCCTCGTCCACTCACACCCCCCACCTGCGTGCCTGGTAACACCCCCTGCCACACCCGTCCCAGCAACGACAAGCTGAGCCATCAGGCGAAGACGGATCTCGCCGGACTCAGCGCACGGGAGGATCTACGCCAGGAGGACTCCCCCAGGTAGGTCATTGTTTGATATGTCGGGGTGGTGACCATGGGGGGTGGTTGGTGGAAGAGTGGGAGCGGCGGTGGGCAGCGTAGTCGGGGCTACGGGGGTCCCATGACCCGGTTGTGCTGTAAGGGATGAAGGGGCAAGTGGGTAGTGTCGATCGGCCCCGGCTGAGGCCATATGGGGACACTTAGCCCGAGCCCGAAAGGGCGCTAGGGTATTTTGTGGTCCGTGGACGCCCCGCCCAACAACCTTCATTCGTCTTGCTTCCGCCTTCACGGTGCCGTCCTCATTTGGATATCACCACTCTCCCGTGAGATCTACCTATGATCTCTATCACTCATTTGTCCTGCCTGGGTGTCTCTGTAGTCAGAGCCGAATGGACCTCTGGGCCACATTCCCAGAGGTGATAGTGGTTTTCCTAGCTCTCCATCCTAGCTAGGTTTTCCCACTATTCCTCTGACTACTCTCTACATTACATTCACATTTACATATCTAACTCTGTAATATTTAAAGTTGATGAGGGCTGCTGGCCATATATCAATAAATACTATACTATACTACTAGTGGGAACAGTGGGCAATCCTGCATAATTTGTAATCACCCTGTTGTACCCGTTGGCTGGAAATAGTTGTTGCGCCAAGTCCGAGCTTTCCCTAAAAGTGGACATGCCGCGTGACGCCTTATGATATCCGTATCGACCGGAAAAACTTATCGTCATCTTGACCCAGCCGTCCACGACGTCGAGTTTACAAGCTGGATTTATGGAAAGGCGCAAGTAATCATTCCCACTCTCGTAAGGATCGAATTTGCAGACAATGGTGCCCATATTCCTGACTTCGTTAGCGAATGAGACAGTGCACTGAATCAAATTGTAATTATGCCTAGCCAGAATGTACGTAAAAACATTCTTTCGGGATTGAAATGAATTTCAGTACGACATCTTCTTTTGCGCAAATCCTGAAAACAAAAGATTAGATTAATTATCATTAAAAATATTAATACTTTATTTAAAAAAGAATCGCTGGTCAGTAACACAGTTGAGAAGTTGACACCTCCTTTTCTCTCTGGAGATAAGAGAGTGAAAAGGAGGTGCCCACTTCACTAATTATCTAATTCAAATTAGTAGTTAATTAGCGAATTAATTAAAGCATTAATGTTTCAATTCTCTGTTTGACGTGACGGGCTATAACGGGCGTATAAAGGAGCGCTCATTAAAACAAATATTGCGAGCTATTAATAGCTCGCGTGCGACGAACCATCATCCGCCAGCGGTTCTTGAAGTAGTAGATTTACTAATATTTACTGCAAACATTTTTCCATGACTATACTTACATAATCGTTTCGCTGCCGTTTGCATTTCCAACGCCTCGTGTAGCTCCAGAAATTGCCCGTGTCAGAATGATGTTCTTATGTATGTGCGAGGATTTGAAACAAATCTTCCAGCTGGGAGCATATTTCTAGCAACCGGAGAAAATTGACTTATTGATATGTAAATACATGAAATTGGTCATTTAAAATTTGTTAGTCACCTTTCACTAGTGGGACAAGAAACGATGTGAGCAGCTCCATTGACTCATCCATAGTGAGAAGTTTCTTTGGCGTGACTTTCAGAGCAAACTCTTTAGGATTCATTAATGGAAATCGGATGTGAGTCAACGGTTTGGCGAGACAATTTCGAAGATTTTCAGTATTTTCCGGATCCAGAGACTGACGCGTGCACTCGGCCAGGCCCCACCTGGATATTTAGAAATAACCGTACA